ACCAAAACGTTATCTATTATTTCATTCAGGAGAGAAAGCGAAATTTTCTTTTATCGTTTTTTTTTGTTCCCTCGAAAACTTCGTGATCTGGAACAACCAAGACCGCGCAACGTGAGCAAGAATGGAGATCACAAGGGATTACCAGCGCGTATCTCATACAGGAATTCCAAAGCGAAAATGTGTTGATGTTGTGCCTGTAGTGCGAAAAACGGCAACTCTGTCAATCAGATATGTTTATATTAACGCTTGCATGTGGACTTTCGCGTGCCTGTCCCCGTGGCCAGCGTGGAGAGGGCATAGTCGGCGCTGAAGTTTGTTTTATCAGAGCAGTGCTTTCGCATATTCTAGTAGACAATTGACTACGGAATGCTTCTGAGATTGTGCTCGCGCTCTTGACGCGAGGCATCGAGCCTGCTAAAAAAAAAAATTAGTAATTCGCTTGAGAAAATAAACACTATAGTTATTAGAAGCATACTCGTTTGCGCTCACTTGTGGAAATTCGTGGTACAGGTAGTTGCGCTACTCTTGATGACGTGAAAACGACGTGTTTTACTCCTGTTCCACTTTCTTGAGAGAAGCGTAACTTACTATACGGCTAATCCGTTATTTTTATTGCTTCAAACTTTTGCATACAAATAAAAAACGCAACAAACTGCCACAGAGCATTTCTTTTTACCCTTTCCGGAACAAAAAACGGAACGGAAATTTTCGCAGTGGAACGAAACGAAAACATTTTGTTCAGACACCCTGGCTGTTCCGACACCCGGGCAGAAAAGCTGCATTTTAACACTGGAAACGCTACATTAACTGGGAACGGTGAATTAGGTATGTACACCGCGGTAGTGCAGTGGTTGTACGTACATATGATATGCTGCTGATATGATGACCGTAGACGGGTGGTTGAAGTCAATCCGGAGCCCCCACTCAACGCTGGGCTTCATAATCTAATCGAGGTTCTGGTAGGTAAAGCCCGAGAACACTGTATCCTGAGTAGAGCCAACGCGTCCCGTGAGGGGTATAAAATCATAAAACCGCACGAATTATGTGCCGGTAATGGGCATGGCTTCCTTTTCTTTCTCTCTGGCGCATGCGCATCTTTCGTTGCTTGCGCTTTCCGCTGTGTCAGCACTCTTGCGCGTGATTCTATTCGCAGCAACGCGCCGCGAAGCGAACCATTGTTATCGACAGGCTCTGAGTGACGCCGAGATGTTTTCTTTTTTTCATAGTGTTCGAGTTATTCTTATAGAGTAATAATTTCTGTTCACTGGTCCTCTGTATCTGAGCTGCCTTTCGAGAGTGACGAGATAGCAGGCTCTTGTGCGGCGGTCGACTGCGCAGTTCTGACTTCGGCAAGATCCAGTCTGCAGCGCATACCGTTCGCGCTGCTGATTGTTGCCAGAAGCCCTGTCATACGTTGATGTGAGAAAGTGCACTTTGCTTTCAACGTGTCGGAAGCGCCGTTCTCGAAACGTTTCAGTGGAATGCGGCAGTGTTGCTGTCTAAACCGTGTGTATTGCGGGTGGCAGCGGCTCTCTGTCTAAACTGTGATGAAATTTCGACTTAACTGAGCTCTTTCGTCAGAAGTCGCCCTGGGATGTTGCAATACAAGTAAGGAATTGCACTTATTTGGTAGAAATATCGTCTGTCTTTCTTTTTCTGAGCTTTTTAATATGAGAAAATGGGGAAAAATTGCCGCTTTGATTATAGGGGGCATCGTGCCCTAATGTAATGTCTTGGTGCAAGTAAAAAAAAAAAGCAAAACAAGAGGCTACCTTGACTGTGAGAGTTAAATGTGTGCGCATATTGTGTCCGCATTAAAATCACTGCATGTGGAGTGAGGTGCAAGGGCTTCGTCAAGCACGCATGAGTGGACGGGAAAATACAGCATGTTCAATCTTCGCACTTGTACACGATAAAGGACATAAGGCAAAGACATGCTAGTGATACGTTTATTTAAATCTAACGTCATTTCGTGAGGTACCAACCATAATGAAATAAAGTGGGAATGCTGATGACTGTATATGGGCTCGATTTGCGCTTTGGTGATCTGTGCGTCTGAGCTCTGGAGCACGACACGTGCTCTGATTGATGAAAAGGGAGAGGGCACGGAGAGAAAGTAGTTGCCGTTATACAGCGACTGACCTTCCAGCCTCATAATCCAGTCCCGAGCATGCATTATTTACAGCTGTAGCTCCTTTACAATATATGCGTTCTTGGACTTGAAAAGAGCGATATATGTATACATATAGAAAACAGTGTGCTCCACGACGCACACGCATATACCGCTCAGGAAGTAAAACAAGCCGCGGTGGTCTAGTGGCTAAGGTACTCGGCTGCTGGCCCGCAGGTCGCGGGGTCGAATCCCGGCTGCGGCGGCTGCATTCGCGATGGAGGCAGAAATGTTGTAGGCCCGTGTGCTCAGATTTGGGTGCACGCTAAAGAACTCCAGGTGGTCAAAATTTTGGGAGTCATCCACTAGGGCGTTTCTCATAGTCATATGGTGGTTTTGGGACGTTAAACCCCACATATCAACCATCAATCAAGAATTAAAACAAAAAAGACAGCAGAAAGCGCGTGTTGTTTCAGATTGGTCAGCGATTACCGTGATGTACTCAGCTGACACGCGCGAATGTTGGTCTTGTTTCCCGTTTGATAAGTGAGGCAGTGTCGCCACCAAAAGAGAAAATGTCAAGTGACATTAGTCTGTGTTGAAGGGGCACGCATAAGTTTATTGATTGATTTTTGGGGTTTAACGTCCCAAAACCACAATTTGATTATGAGAGACGCCGTAGTGGAGGGCTCCGGAAATTTTGACCGCCTGGGGTTCTTTAACGTGCACCCAAATCTGAATACACGGGCCTACAACATTTCCGCCTCCACCGGAAATGCACGCATAAGTTTATAATGAATCATTTGGGCGTTATGTTGATAAGCAGTACATAGTTAAAAATAGGAGTGCGACTTTACCTAATGTCTTTAATGACCGTTTGTCCATTGTAAGCGTAACAATACCTTCAAAGCCTTCTGTGCTGACTGTCTCGGCCAGTGTCGCCTTTCCCCCGACAAAAGGCGAATGCAACGCTTTGCGGCAAGTGCAATAATTGCGTGTTTTACGGAAAGAAACCCTTACCGGCAATGATGGATCTGTGCCCGGCGTCGCGTTTTTGCTTAGCACACGCACCAGGCTACGTATACGCGATAAAATTTCGGCCGCGGTGTAACAGTGGTTGCGCGCCCTGCTCGACTGTTGAGCGAAAGTCGAGTGTTCGATCGCGGCGGTCGCATATCGATAGGCGAAATGGTGAAGGCCCGCGTACTGCGCGATTTCAATGCACATTGAAGAAGACATAGCTGCTCCCGATTTCCGCAGTCGCCCTGTACGCGGTGTACAGTGCCTCATAATCACATCGTGGATTTGGCTCGCAAAACCCGGTCACTGAAATGCAAAAATATCTCGGTATATAATGAATTAGCTGAGTGAACGTTGCTGAAATATTGTTGTGTTCCTCACACTCAGATAATCCGTATAGTTCGTAAAACCCATTGATTTTCAATGGTCCTTTTCTAAAGGAGCGCGACATCAAAAACAGCTATGGGCTGGAGAAAAAGTACCGTGTTTGCATTCAATGTACGCGTTCCGAACGTATTTGACTGACCAAACGATTAAAAAACAAAAGGAGGGTATACGGTGCTGCTTTCCGTGCTTCGTGGACCGCGGTCTGCGGAAGAAGCGCGTGGTATAATGACATGTTCACACGTCCCTGCTCGCGGCCATGGCATTGCCCACGGCGTGGTGCGGCGGCCTCGGCGGGAGCAGCCGTGGGGGGAAGCTCGTTACGGCGATGCCTCGGCCGTTCCCCGCTAGAGCAGCTTCTACCTCAGCTCGCCCACGGTGGACGAGTGCCACGAATCTTTCACGTGGTCGGCGTCCCGGCTGGCGGAAGGTTATTTGGTAGCCGACCTTTCCTCTGGGAGCCTGCTACATATATGTCTAGTTTTGTGTGTTCAGTCTGAATCGTTGTTTTGACACGTACAACTGCATAATTAAATTGAACGAAGAATGAAGTGTGTGCACTTGCAGTTCTGGTAAGAACACTTGACACACATTTCCACGATCTTTTCTTTTTAACTTCATCTGAGTGTTTTTAGGCTATCTGGTGTTCTTCTTGTGTGCTTATTTCGCAAGTGTTTGTTTTTGGTGCTTTTATTATTATCATTGTTATTACTAATGTGCCCTGCGACGAGTAGTACCTTCAATATACAGCTATAAGAAGGTTGTTTATAATAACGCAGCGAAAAAAAATCACAAATGCTTATTTATTTGGTTATATATGAATTATAGGTTATACCGTTCCTTCTTGCAGAACCAACAGCTGTAGAACCTTACAGCTTTTATACGTTGAGGGTTTTCGTAAACACGGAATCAAACTTGTCTAGAGCAGTGGAGCTCATGACTATGGATGTTGTTTTTGTCTGCAGCTGATAGTTGACGCCATCTAGAAGCTTCCTTTCATGCTTGAGTTGTAGCACAAGGACCTAGCATGCAAGTCGACAATGTCATGCTTCAATACGGCGTCGGTGTTTGCGTAAAAGCAGCAGCTGAAGTGGTGGGCTTGGTGCTCGATAGACTATAATATTTTATTGATTTATTTATTTGTGTTTATTTTACAAATACTGCTACCCCATTAAGAGAATTCGAAGGATGGGATACAGATATATTCCGACTAGAAGGGCAAACAAAAACATTAAGAACCAAATAAAAAATATTTGTGGTACAGTGACAATGCAGATATAAGGTAAAATACTCTTCAAGCACAATTGAAACAACGCATTAGTACAATTGTTAACATAACGAAAAATAAAATAAGTAAGTTACTCAATATGGGGCATAAACAATCTGTACAATATATGAGAGCTTCGTATGCCGATCTGCTGTTCTGTTTGCAACTTAGTTTTCCCTGTTTAGGGATGACGATATATGTGCTGTTTTTGATGCGCAGCCGGAAGAATGCAGTCCTGCTTCGCACCCAACTCTCCGTTCGAGTTCATGCGATAATCGGTAAGTGCATTTCATACCGCACGTGTCGTCAGAGACCTCGCGTAACTGTTCTACAGGATAATAAAGTCAAGTACATGCATTACCAGTGTTAGTATAACCCCAAGTATGTTTTTTAAATTAAAACGGTCTTTGGACTCTGTGCGGCAGGCGAATCGTTTTGCGCGTAAAAGTTAGCGTTGCATCACCCCCCTCCAACCCACCTGCTCCGGCACGAACCCTCAAGGTGAAGCCGAAATATTGCTCAGTTAATAATGACTCTCAGATGAGGCAGTTGGAAAAGAAATTATGATAATGATCAAGCTTGAAAGAGACAAGGAGAGGGCTTGCAACTTACCTGTGCAGGTAAAATGTGATAGTGAATAGAATGCCCCTGAATAAGAAAAGTTGTATTCTCAAAGCTCACGAAAATTGTACAGCGTGGTGGAGCGCTCTACGATTCAACATAGAGCCCGGAGGAGGACAACCATTTTGCTAGAATATATGCGAACAAAAGGGTTGACCTCCTCCTCTCTATTCCTATAGGAAGAGATAGGAGGAGGTCAACCCTTTTCCTATCTCTTCCTATAGGAAGAGATAGGACGTACGTACCGTGTCACATTCACCAAATAAAGTCATGAGTTGCACTGAAATGTATATATGAGACCAAGATACTCTCCGAAACTATGGAAGCTCGCCCTCGGGATATTTGCCGTGGTGTGAAAACTTATATTCCAGCTCCGTTACCGGGCATGAACGACGCTTTGCGAAATCCTGTGTGTGCAGAAAAGTGCAATAGAATCGAGCCTGCCTAGTGGACTGGCCGTAGTAGTATATAGGCCGCTAGCGAGTAGTGTGATCGCTGCTGCACGGACCGAATGTTTAACATGGTGATGGTTTGCAAACATTTTGTGCCGTCGTCATTACTTGCGCTGCCAGGAAGATGGAGTTGCTGTTTCAACGGAACACAAGCATTTAACGTTAAGTAGCGCTGGTGTCACACTCATGCTCAGACTCTAGCCGTGCGCCATTCACTGCGCTTGGACGTTGCAGGCTCAATCAAATATACACGCGTATGCTTTTCGCAACTTTGAAATTGCGAAAATTCGTCGAACAACGCTGTTTGGACGGTACCGGCAGTACAGGAAAAGGTATACCAGGGACGCGTGGATTGTAGCCGTAATTGCGCGTTTCATCGCTCTAACCATTTCGCTTCGCTGAACATGAGCGTGTTGGCGGCATGTGGCGCTCCATAGTATCCACAGTAATATCGCTACATGCAATGCGCAAGACCTCGCTGAAGGATATGATACAGTAAATACAATCACAGTGACTAATGGGCGTGAAAAATCATTAACGCATCAGGGAACGGGAATGTTGTAGGCCCGTGTGCTCAGATTTGTGTGCACGTTAAAGAACCTCAGGTGGTCGAAATTTCCGGAGCTCTCCACTACGGCGTCTCTCATAATCATATGGAGGTTTTGGGACGTTAAACCCCACATATCAATCAATCTCATTACTTACAGGGTTGTAACATGTGACAAGTAGTTTGTAAACCGAAGTTACTAAATACTACAACCACTCTTTCTTTAAAGAGTGATATGAATGGATGCCGTGAGCGAAGTCGATATGGTGTACAGCCGCCCAAAAGTTTATCGCGCGTCAGCGCGCTCAGCCCGGCCCGTCGTCCGCCAGGCTTTTCCTTCTTACCATTGCACTGCAGATGAACCGCGTCGTGCTGCTTATCTCATTAGTACGGGCGTGGGCGTGTCTTTGATGTTATTCGCTCGATTTGTGGCGGCAACATTCCTCTTCGGAGAAGAAATTACGACCGAAAGTAATCGCCAGCTCACGCTGCCGGGCCCATCTGAGCACGCTTTGTGGGCATGCGCTTACCCTCGCCCTGTTTGCCACTCAGCTACATTGTTCTAGAAGGCCTAGAAGGTTACTCGGCTCCGTCGTACGGCGCTGATGCACTGAGAAGTCTCCGCTCGCGCTCTGGGTGGCTCTACGTACTATATAGAGAATTGTTGTGCTCCTATAGGCAGGCGTAGATAAACGGGGCTCGTCTGTGTGGTCGTTCGTGCTGAAAGCCTACCTGAACAAGAGTGTGGTTGCTTCGTTCGTATCAAGCCATATTCGTTTTGAAAGTATCGTGACGGTTGTCGTCAGCGCTATAGCATCACGACGTGTCTCGCTGATCGTTGCATCTGTAGCGAACCTGCCAGACTCATCAGTCACACGCATGCACTAGTGTGTTCTGTCGTCGGTGTCCCCTGGACCATCGCGATTCATCACGTGAAGCTTCGTCGCTGCTAAGGGCTACCTGCTTGCCTGGTTTTTTTCCCCCTGTAACCGTCACTAGAGGAAAGTTTCCGCACTTCTGTTCGTTCTGTTATATAGACTGGCACAGCCGTGTCGATGCCGGTACGCGTGTGGAAAAGGGAAAACGTGCCGAGTTAGCGCGGCGGTTTTTTTGTATGTATAATCTTTGGGGATTGATCGCTATTTTCTAACAGCAGGGCGCGCCGGTTGCAGCGCTGGACTTGGTCGACCCGCGAGAAATAGCTGTCATTTGTCTGTTGACAGAGAGTAGAGAGAGAGAGAGAGAGAGAGAGAGAGAAGAAAGGAAAAGAAGGGAACAAAAGAGGGTGGGAGTATCTGCTTAGCGGCGGATGCTGTGGCGCTGGGTGCGGTCTTGGCGTATGGCAACTATGATGTGGCAATTCTAAAATAGGATCGCATCAGTTGTGCCGCGGGCGTATCGACTTTTGCGAATCGAGGCAAAACGCCCCCCCCCCCCCCACCTCCCTTTTGCCAGCCGTTCCATACAATAACGGACACGGCAAGAAAAAAAATAGCTTATATACACCACAGCACTTATAGTGTGCCATGACTTTCGTGCCATTTGATTTATTCACGCTTGTGCATCGCCTGGTCGGCTCTTCACCTTACTCTGTTTCGGTGTATGTATATGTCTGGCGCTTCCAGCTAGATTCGTGTGTACAATCTATCTCCTGGGAAGATCTGCTCCTTAGATCGTCAAGTTTTGGGAGCTAGGTGAAAGACATACAAAGAACTTTAATGCAGTGACTGTATATTCTAGGGAAGGACCCGCTCAAGTCCTCGGCTCGTGGCTGGCTGCTCCCATGAAGTGCGCATTTTCGCCTATATAGCATATCTATGGGACAGTCGTATGCACTTTTTCAACAGGTCTTGCAACGTGTTGTCAAAACGCGTTTTGTGTATATCATTTGGTGCTCGGTAAACGATATAGTTCTGTAGTTCTGACAGCCACTTGTGATTCGCGCAGTGAAGTTACTAATGCCCCCCTTGAAAAAAAAAAAAAAGAAATCTTAACGACGTAGAAGCTTGATTTAAACGACTCTGTACTGTACAGGGCTTGTGTTTATTTAGTCTGCTGTTATGTAGTTTTTTTAGTAAGTCTTTAAGCTCCACCGCAGCTGCTTTCGTTCGCAGCGCAAGCAGTTCATGAGGCATCGTCGCAAGGCGCTTATGTACGTGCGCGTCGGTTATTAGGGAGTTTTAGCTTGTACGTATACTTCTTTACGTTAACGTGTTACCGGATACCGTTTCGCGTTTACCGTCTTACCGGAACGGATATCTTTCAACGTGTTAGCTCCTCATACGTAAATTTTCACGTACGTACGTAAACGCGTATACCTTTACGTTTTCGCAAACCATAAATGGTGATGCTCACTGCATATAAACTGCATTAACCTTAGATATGGTTAAATCACCATTGTGGTGAAATCACGAGACGTTCTTTTATTGCGTACAGCATCCTCATATGCGCGAAAGAGTGAAAAATACATGGCTAATGCAACGATGGTGTCGACATCTTGTGACACTTCGTGCAACCACATTCATGAACACATTCTTACGCGTAATGTTTTTTGAGGTGAAAATTATTAAAAAGGTAACTCATTTGTAATAACGGCGCTGTGCGTTTTTTGCATCAGACGTACAATGCTCAATATTTCTGCAATAACAATTTTGTGATTACCTGGTTCACTATCGCCCCGCTAGATGGCACCACCTATCCAGCTTCTCTGGAATTCGCACGTTTACGGCATTTATGTCCTAGACCATTCTAGCTTTGGTAATCCGGCTGAAACAATGTAATGGCCATTGGCGCTCGCACTTCAGCTACTTCTGCTTATAGCAACTCGACGGTTCGAGTCCCCGCAATGCGCATACCACGAGTTTCTACGAACGAAGGCGTATTTGCGAGATAAGGTTGTAAACGTAAAGTCTATATGGCAGGAAACGTAAACTTTTAAACCAGATCCGGAGGGAAACGTAAAGGTTTACGTTCCGTAAAGACCCGCGCATGCGCAGATTCTATCCGGTATCCGCTAACACGGTAACGTAAAGAAGTGTACGTACAAGCTAAAACTCCCTATTTTGGGCAAAACATCGATACGTTTACGTTTGTCTATATGAAATGAGTCTGCAAAGCTCGTTTGATCCTTGCATTTGGGAAGTTCATCTGATCCTCTTGTTTTTTCTCTTTGTGCACAATATTCATAACAGGAAGTCGGGTCCTGATCAAGGAACTATACTCAAGCCAGTGGAATTTAAGATTTCCTGTCGATTAACCGGAGCTTTCTCTACTTTGCAGAGAAATTGCTCAACTCGACAGGACGAGAACTGCGACGGGCTCTGTTTTCTCTCAAGCAAATCTTTCAGGTGAGTGGCGTGTGTATTGTAGACTTTTATGTAGATTTTCAACTTGCTTTCTCGTGTGCTGTTTTTTTTTTTAAAGGAGTCAACGATGGCAGAGGTCATTTAATGTTCGTGTGTAACTGGAACGTTTCGTGTCGCATATTTGTTCGGACTTTCCACTGTTTTATTATTTGTTAGCTCGGATATTTCTCTTCAAATATCAAGTTGAACTTCGGATATGGCTGACTGAGTCATCAGTGCCCAATTATATTTCAGTGCCATCAGTAACTAATTATGCTATGTGATGATTTTAGTCGCCAAAATTGTTTGCTAAAGACCATAGGATATGTTGCAGTCAATCTAGGATATATAGGATATCCAGCACTCTAATGGCATTTTCGGTTGAATGTTTCATGGTTGCTGGAACGCGCGCACGCACACATGCACACACATTCACACACCGTATGAGAGAGAGATAACCGAAAGCAGAACACTCTTCCACCTTTACAAGGTTAATTGGTCATACGTCATCACGGTTCACTTTAATTTGCTACATCTGTTAGCATGAGTCCTGTAGCTGATGTTTTGACTTGTCAAGCGTTTTCTTTTTTTAAGATGCGGTGCAACATTTTTGTATTGCGAAGTATGCAGTAATAGAAAGCTCACCCAAGTTCATGAGGCACCTATTGGGAGCACTGGGCCGGCGGGCGCTGTTTTCCCAATATAGGTGCAGTAAACAACTTGCAGAAACAAGGATACTGCTTTGTTTCCACTTTTTTTTTCGTTTTTAACTGTGTGCGTCGGCGTTATACTCTCGCCGTTTTAATGGGCCTAAGTGTGTCGTAACATATACCTCCTCTCCCTTTCATTTTTTTATTTATTCATACGTGGACAAAACGTGTGAACTTTTTCTTAATACGCACACAATTGCGCTGGGCCCAACCCCTCTTCCCCTCCATCCCCCAAAGAAAAAAAAGGAAAGGAAAAGGAACCAAACCGTCTCTTTCCAACAAACGGCAGATGGACTTATTGGTCATTCAAGCAGTCCCCCACGTTGTGGAAAGTCGCCTGCTTCATCCCTTTCTGGATTGCTTCCGTTGCGCAACTTTTTTTTTTCATACGTCATTAATGTCTCTCAAAGACATGGATGCACACCGGTATGTGTTGCTGATTGCTCGAGCTTCGTAGCGTTGTTGCCTTGCAGCGGTTTGTTCAGTACTGATGCATTGGAGAAGATGCATCGCTGCAAGGTCGCGTGAACTGGCCGTGTCGCTCTGCATGCACGTGTGGCTGTTTTCGAAGTCGCCGAGAAGCTGTGGCGCGCGAGGATCGGCATGCATCCGGCGCCCGCTTCGTCATTCGGCAAAAGCGAGTGACAGGCACCAGGCGCGCTTTAAAGGAACGCTGCGTCTGGTACGCGGCGCCGGCTGAACTTGCACAAGCTTGTCTAAACACGGGCGCATCGCCATTCGGCGCATCGGATAGGGACAGGAAGGGTCGCGCAATACGGTTTCCGATAGCGATGCCACGCTTGAGAAGCCGTTCGCCTGTGCGCATGCGTTTCGTATATGTTTCGTTCTAGGTCTTTTCCGGCCGCGGATTCTCGACGCGTGAGACACACGAGTGAACGGGCTAACGGCTTTTCGAGCTTTTGCGCCCCGGTGTTTTTATGAACAGCAAGTGCGTGGTCCGGCGTGCTCGCTGAAGTTTACTGAAATGGGCGCATTTTCCTCGAGATGATTGGTTGCCGCGCTGCACAGGCCTTATTCGGTGAACTTTCAACGGGAACTTGAGTCCCCGTGGAAGTGGAGACGGCTTTACAAAATTTTGGTTCGCAAATGCGCTGGTGGCTTTGAAGCGCTATTAAAATGCATGACGAAACGAAAGCTGACAGATACCTAACTCAGATCGACGTTGTTATTATGAGTCTTAGTCGAGCGTGCTCGCAAGCTCGCTGGAACAAATCTCGTTTTCTTTTGCGGAAAGAAGGCGGACATTTCAACAAACGCACCAATGTTTGCGTCTCGTGAACGCCCTAAAATGGCGCAGCCACGACCGAGTTAGGAGACGCGCGCTCGACTGGTTTTGCTCAACCAAAATACGGGGGACGTACGCAAACCGGTGGTCTGGCGAAAGGAAATCGTTGAAGTTGACCTAGAAAAATATTTTTCATAATGCCCACGATGGCAGCGCGGTACGTAGCAGAGCTCAAAGCAACGAGCTGTGGCTTCAGGATATATAATTACGCCCGTTGTTTTCTCCAGCGTAACATTTTATAGGGGATCCGCATACTGCCGTCTACTCTTTCAAACCTCGCCATGCGCCGCATGCATATACATGTAGAGCTTCTCGCCTCGCTGTAGAGTTACGCTGCACGATACACGCTAGCGATATCAGTGTTTGCATTAATCGCGCTCTCTAAATTATTCAGCTGTTTCGAAATGACATCCGTCACACTGCTGCATACATTGGCTTGATAAGTTCCCTCAGCCATATCGATACTATACTCGTCCATAGCCAGCAGTGCCAACTATACCATTTGTAAAACGGCATTTCCGATGGAGGCGGAAATGTTGTAGGCCCGTGTGCTCAGATTTGGGTGCACGTTAAAGAACTCCAGGTGGTCTAAATTTCCGGAGCCCTCCACTACGGCGTCTCTCATAATCATATAGTGGTTTTGGGACGTTAAACCCCACATATAAATCAATCAACCATTTGTAAAACGTGAACGTATAAGGGTCTTCCGATGTTCCGCTGCCATCAGACTATATAGCTCCACCCCAAGAAAACACCTCGCGCACGTGGGACGGAATGATCATATCTTAACCACTCAGTGGGTTGAGATTCAAAACGCCGCTCGAACGCTGGTTTACATTCATGACGATATGCATAGTTTTGATGAATTGAAGATAGCCCGCCTTGTTGGAACGAATTCATGGAAGTACTTTGCGCGGAATACACGGGGACGAAAAAAAAAAAAAAGAGATAGACACACGGACACTCGTCTGCGTGTATTCCGCCCCTAGAACTTCCATGAATGGTTTTGATCGTTGTTTTGATTCAGAATATACGTGTGTTCAAATCTGTTATCGTTATGCTTCTGTTCTTCTTCTTGGGGAGCGGGAAGCTGTTAGCTGCGTTCACACATGTCATTTTGAGGACGTAGTAATTCAGTTCCTCGCAAGTGCAGTAGACCTTCACGACACTGCAAGACAGCGCGCGTTCTCTGTTTAGTTGCTTAGGGCGTCATATATATTTTCGTTGGGAATCGGGGCTTTTCGGTCATTTTCGAACATAAGACAACCAAACTACGTTCATTTTTGTACTTAATAATTTCTGTTTGTCATTTCACTGTGCCTACTCTACTAGTATACCGGTGTTCAGTCAATATAGCGTTTGCTAGCGTACATAAGGCCCGTTTTATTACTTTCCTCATTGTGTCCTGTTTCTCGCATTTCTGCGAGCACTGATGGAACCTTGTGGGAGTGACCCTGGTTGTCTTGCGCATAACAGTTGTGTTAACGAGGATATGCAGTAGCGCGCGCTTCCTCCTATTTTCTTTTTTTATATATTTATCTACCTGTGGCGTGCTCCAAGGACGTTCATGTATAGTATTGCGCCTCCTGGTTAAGCGTTTATGCACGCACCAGATGCTCATTATTTGCCGATCAGCTCGCAGCGAACGGCGCTTCGCAGCGGCTGACGGTGTCGTTTGCTTCCTTCCCGTTGCAGGATGACAAAGACCTGGTGCACGAGTTTGTGCAGAATGACGGCCTCGCTTGCCTCATCAAAGTGGGGTCCGAGTCGGACCAGAATTACCAAAATTACATCCTTAGAGGTAGGTGTGCGAGGCGCCTCGCCATTTCGATACGCTTTCTACGAGCAGCGTAATTGCTTGCGCGCACGCAGGCTGGTGTTCCCGGCCGGAGAATAGCCCGATTGTTTCAAGCGAAACTGTGCTCCTCTCGCTATTTCTTGCCAACAAATTAACTTTGAATTCAGACCGTATATAAACAAGAAACTTGCGAGGGATATTATGGAAGAATAATATGTGGCCTGGCCCTATGCGCCACTCATCGTCACACCACAAATAATAATAATAATAATAATAATAATAATAATAATAATAATAATAATAATAATAATAATAATAATAATAATAATAATAATAATAAACTTGTATGTGACCAGGAACTGGCACCCAAATGTTTTAAATGTTTAATTGTTGGGATCTAAGTTTTGAAGCTCATTTATAGAGAATTTCTTTCGGTAGTATACTACATGTCAAGAAATAGATGAGTTGAGTGAAATAAACTTTATTGGCTTAACGTTTGTGCCCGGTGCTAGGCTGTCAGTGATCTAAATGCTGAACTAAATCCTCTGCTAGTCAACACTGCACAATAAACAGAACCAGAGCAGATTGTACAATGTGTTTTATGCACGATGTAAGAATACTTTTTCTTACGCCGTGCTTATGCACAATATGACATACTGCCGGTTTGAGACTAACTCCGTGTGAGCGTTTCAGTTGACGCCATTCGAACAATGCAAGCAGAGTAGAAAAGAAACGGAGGCTTTTGTATTCATGTGGAAACGTCACCAATGACTGCGTGACGAAATAATACTATGAAATACTCATCACGACACTGATCTATCTATCTATATATCTATCTATCTATCTATCTATCTCTATCTATCTATCTATCTATCTATCTATCTATCTATCTATCTATCTATCTATCTATCTATCTATCTATCTATCTATCTATCTATCTATCTATCTATCTATCTATCTATCTATCTATCTATCTATCTATCTATCTATCTATCTATCTATCTATCTATCTATCTATCTATCTATCTATCTATCTATCTATCTATCTATCTATCTATCTATCTATCTATCTATCTATCTATCTATCTATCTATCTATCTATCTATCTATCTATCTAATATTATTATTATTAATATTATTATTCATCTTCTTACTGCAGAAGACTTGCAGCAGCCTCTGATGAAGCTTTTCTGTGGTATTTTTTCCGTCATGATTGTGGCTTATGCGTATGCGACTTTCATATTCTGTGCTTCGGTCAACGTTTTTAGGACCTTGGCTTTGGTACCCAGTGTATTGCCTTGATTTGTTTGTTTGTTTGATGTAGCATAGCCCCCGAGATCGTACCGGTGCGTGTGATGTCGGCTGTCACGGCTGTATAGTAAACGTTCAGTGAAGTCGTTGGGTGTGCTAAGCAATTAGTCCAACGAATTTACTCGGCTACAGTGATTTCTGCCGTTGATGATATGCACAAGGACCTTATTTTCCGCGTGTGGGAGATGATAGTTTTAATTTAGTTACTATATCTCTGGCGATGCGTTGCAGTTACGTACCTTTGTAACTTCGCGTTCTCATCAGTTTATGAATCCGCAGTTTAGTTAGCTAGGCTGTTCAATTTTGGTGACTGATGTTGGAAACGACCGTGCGGTCGTTGATGGACGGTTATACCGCCGTTGTCGTTGCTACGCGCGGTCGTCTGCCGTGATGACGTTGTTGAAGGTCGCTGTGCCGCGGCATCCTTCGATCAAACACGATGTGCTTTCCCGCCCACCAGCTCTGGGGCAGGTTATGCTCTACGTGGACGGCATGAATGGCGTCGTGGAGCACAACGAGACGATCCAGTGGCTCTACTCTCTCATTGCTTCCAAGGTGAGCGCAGCCCGCACGCACGTTGTTATCCGGCCGTGATGCGCGATGGGTACCGCATGAGGTGACGCATGCTGCTGTTGTTGCATGGTCGTTTTTCTTTCGCCCAGTGTTCGTGGCATGGTGGCATGCTTGGCTCCCTATCGCCCGCCTGTCCGCGCGATGACCACGCCGACTCATTCTTATGCGGCCAGAAAAGTAAATGTCGTGTGTGTGTGTACGGGAGAAAAAAGGGGGATAGACAACTCACATGATGCCGGGCGTGTTCATACTTACCAATTTAACCGCGCGAAGGTCGCGATTGAATTCACCAGCTGGCCTTTCTGCGGAAGGTCATAGTTCTAAAACTGAAATAATAATAATAATAATAATAATAATAATAATAATAATAATAATAATAATAATAATAATAATAATAATAAATCCAAATCGCGGCGGTCTGCCCGTGTTGATGGTCATAAAAATAAAGGCCGCGCATGTGCGTCAGTATATATGCAGCGCTGGAAGAAAAGAAAAAAAAATGAAGAAGAGCTCGGGTTCTTTAGCTGCGAATGGCAGCAGGCAAATCTTACGGATTAGTTCTGACCCAAATATGATGTTCGGACTTGGGCGAGCGCCTTATTACACATTAGGCGAGGTGGAAAGTTTTCCATTGGGCGGCACATCGCGCTTGATGTCAGCCCGCATGCGTTGTTGGGCAGGCCTCCACAGTTCCATCAACTCAAAGGGACTCGTCAGCTGCCGGCGCGCCACCGGAATGACGGCCACTAACGATAATCCCAGTGCACGCTGGAGCAGCGGGTTCTGTCTGAAAGTGCGAGGGTCGCGCCGGCTCTGGGCCAAGGCGCATGGCTTAGCCGATTGGCCAACCTTCGTGATCGCTTCTCGTAACAACTGTGTAGCCGAGCGCCCCCCCTTACGTTTGCCGCAGCGTCGCGCGCCAAGGGTAAGCCCGACGCGACACTTCCACATGATTCCCTGGTGAGGTCATCGGCCGGTTTTCGCGTCCATGTGACCCCGTGGGTAACATAAACCCCTGGATCCGAGCAGCATGCAGACTGAAAATTATCAATTTAGACTAAAACTACCTCGAATACCGTCTACGCGCGGAGGTAAGATTTCATAGGCATTAGCGAGGAAAATGCAACAACAGAATTGAAACGTAGTGTTTTGTGACTTCTCTATCTCTGTATATCTTTACATAACACCTATTCCAAGCCTGGATTGTTATCATCAGAATTTGGTGGGAACCGAGGTATGGCTCGATCAGCTGGGTGATACTTGAGCTTAATACCGAACATGTGATGTTCACCATTTAACGAATATGTTTCATGCTATATATGGTATTTAATGTGTTGGCATTGAGGGAGGTTATAACCTAGGAACAGAGAAAGCTTTACTTGATACCCTAAATCTGAATAATAATAATAATAATAATAATAATAATAATAATAATAATAATAATAATAAAATTCTATTCAGAAGTAATGTGAATTACCTCACTATTTCACAAAGTAAAGTGAGATAATTGGCAAAGTGCTCCATTTATGGTGAGTGTCATTGCGGAAATTTATGGTCTTTGTTTAGTGGCTTTTGCGCATGGTTTCGTCAAGTGCTGGCATCTTATAGCTGAAGTGCGAAGCATGCAGAAGTATTATGCTTGAGCTATGAACATGCATAACTAACGAGCCTCTCCTGTTTTCTCCCCTGTGCCCATCCCTTCCGCATTTTTTCCCCTGTACCTTTGGTAACACTTTTCAGTACTATAGATGGGTGAGTCCCTTTATTGCTCTTATTATATTGCGTCATGTGTACATGTGTCACACACCTTATGCGTGGAGCTGCTGTGCTTGTCTACTTGCTCCTGGCTGGTCCTGTGGCTTGTCTTTATGGATCATGAGCAGCTTCTTGCACTACTGTGCCAATTTAAACAGAGCTTTCTTTGTGCTGGTTGCTTTTGTTGGTACCACTTTTGACTTTGTGCGAGTGCATTGGCCTCATCCTGGCATGCATGGTTTAGGGACTGCCTTTTTTCTGCTTGCACATGCATCTCTTTGATAAATATAAGCATTTGTCTGTGGAATTGTGCATGCAAAGTATGGTTGTTGTGGCATGCTAATTAGTGGCTCTCCCTTGATCGTTATGTCTTGTTCGGTCACATACTGATATCCACTTCTCACTGACTTTATGGCACAGATATATTGTTACATCACTTCAGGTCTCCTTTCCTTTTTCTGCACCTCTAAACTTCAGCAGACTTGTACCTCTGTGAGTGGATAGTGGAAGGACAGTTGTAACAAAGGCAGGCTATAGAATGCTAAACTTCAGGAGCATTTGATAGTTACATTTAATATATGTGCTAAAAGAGTAAGCAGAACATGAAAATAAAGCTAGCTGATTAACGTAAATGGTTAATGGAAAAAGATTTCTATGTGCATGGGTGTGGGCGCACTCCTAAAGTACCGTGTGCACTCAAATCTACATTTACCTTGAGAGTATGGTACCTCCATATGCTGTGGGTCTTGAATGATCATGTTTCATTATGTGTGCAATCCTGAATACAATTAGTACCATTGTTCAAATAACAACCAAATAGAACCTTGAGTGTGCACATTGCACATTGTCAGAGAAGAGGCTCAAATCTGTAGCCTGTGGCCTCTATATATTTTACAAAACGTTTTTGTGCTGTCTGCTGGTACTCTTTATCTAACTTACCCTAGCCATAGCTAACTTTGCACCTTGGAGGGGCTGTGCTCAAAATAATGTTGAGGACACATGCGAGCCACCAATGCAACCTTTTCTATGCACTTAGTTTATGCTCGTCACCCGGTCACTGCAGTGTGTGAACATCCTTGAGCTTGTGCACTCAGGGGGGGGGGGCTTGCATCTGTTACTTTTGCAAGTAGTCGTGTGCACATGCAATGCCATTTTATTCATCTATAAATCACTGCACTACATGTCATCAGGCATTGCAATGCTATGTAGTACGTGAAACAGTTACTATGTGTTGTTGTGTGTTGCTGCAAGGCCTAGCTATTTTGGAGCCCAATTATCTTAAGTGATTGTACAGATCTGTAATCACTTGAGTTTCGCTTTTTCTGACTTTTAATATTAGAGTTTATCCAGTTTGCACTCTTAAACTGCCCTAAAGTATTGTATGTTTTTAATTTCAGGAAGTGATAAAAATTCTAGAATCTCGCAGAACACAAGGGCTTTGCATTACTACATCCATTCCAAAAATGATCTGTGGGAAACATTAGGCCTCATATTAATTTTTTCCTATAAAAGTACATGATAAAAGGAATGCCGTGTGTTGACACATACACATAGGACTGTGCCTCACAGTCTGTCTGGAGCGAAGTTTTTGTCCACTACATATGTTGATTTCAGGCAGTTTGCACCCCACCCTCTTTTTTGTTCATCCATTTGTTGCTGTTTTTTCATCCTCCTTAGGCTGAAGCATCAAACATTTGACAGTTAATTGTCAGTGAAAACCCCAAAATAATGATTGCATCTTTCATTGCATTGGTATTTCAAGTTGTTACTGGAAGGGTTTTATTTTTTGTATGTTCAGCAGGGAGGGGAGGAGAGGAGGCAAGCAGAAATTTTGTTTCACCTTATAATTTTTTGCCATTGGTTCTTATCTGAGGCACCTGTGCATGTTTTATTTTTTTAATCATATTTGAGATATCGATCTTGCATTGTCTGTTTGTTGATATCACCTTTTCTGCATTGTACCGCTAGTACCGTCTGGTGGTGAAGACAGCTTTGAAGCTTCTTCTTGTCTTTGTGGAGTACACTGAGAACAACAGTGCCCTTCTTATGAATGCCGTCAATGTGGTGGACCATGAAAGAGGTAAGCTCACACGTGTCATACATTTACTAGTAATATAGATCTTGATTTTCTTTAATTGGCCTGATTACTGGTGAAAATTTAAACATTCTTGGGTATAACTGCAGAGTATATTAGTAAAGGTATGGTATATTAATAATGGAAGGTGAGTTTTTATTTGAAAATATAAGTAAAAATGGGATGCAGAGCCTATAAAGAAAGGGGTATGTACATTGGAGGTATGATCTAAGTTAAGATGATCAAAACAGTGGATTAGAGATTGAAGTGGCAATGAATTTATATATAAAATCCTATTATCAGATAAGGAATATTGTGTTTCTGTATGTAAAAAAAAAGTGTTGTTTAGTCTAGTTGCCACTTTGTCACTTGTGCGGAGGTTATGCCCAACAGAGATTCACCTACTGTAATAGCTTGAACAAGCTACTGTGCAAGAAAGAACTCCCTGGCTTTCTTGCTGTCTTTTCTAGCCTGGTGAATGTTTTCGCTGGAAGTAGTAGTAAAACTGTAAATGATGGCAGGCATGAAAACCAAATTATTGCCACTTCGTTTTTTGTTTAACACTGGCTACTGGGTTAAGGTAATAACTTTTATTACCCAACTGAATGAAGGTTCATTAATAATATATAAATTTGCCAGAAAAAAATAAACACACACACACTTGATCAAATTTTGCCTCAAAATGACTAGTATTTGCTATGTCCACCTTAGAATATACAAATGCTTTAAGCACAAACTGGCCATGTGTAACTCTTTGATTTTATAGCTATTGGTCCTGTAAATTCAGACCAACTAGCCCTGAAGTTATCATTATGGAGAGAACAGAATATTTCCTCTAAATAGCTGAATGTTCTTGTCTTTAGGTGCCAGACCATGGTCCAACATAATGATGTTGCTGAATGAAAGAGACTCTGCAGACATGGAACTGCTGGTATACTCCATGACACTCATCAACAAGGTACATACCTGTAGCCTCATAACATATGAAACTTGTACTGGTTCTATTTTGTGGCATTATTACCAGTTTGCATTCCTTATGCATAACTCATAATTAAGCAAAATGGGAAGAAACAGTGTGGTACTTTGTTTTTGCTCTTGCTTTACCTATTCTTGCTCTTTATTTTTTATTTTTTAAAAAAATTATAACGTTGTTATTCCCTGATAGTGAAAGTCAGTTCTTGGCACCATTGTCATGAAGTATTCCAATACTGACACTGCCCTTAGATGACTCTTCAAATTTTGTAAACTGAATAGTTGGAAAATGGGCATGCCTTGATGTTTTTCCAGAACAATTATAATACATGCTGAAGCACAATGTGATTCTGACTAGGCTTTTCCTTAGTTTTATGAGTTTTTTTGTATACTAGTTCCAAGTTGTGAGCAGGTCGTTGCATCCGGTATTTCTGCAAGGAAATATGAAGAAAATATGAAATTTGAATGTTGAATATAATTGTTTAGTTGAATAAATATACTATTGAAATTCTTATATAATTGGCAGACATAGTTCTATAATTTCTTCATGACATCAATTACAGGCACATTTTAAAGGCCTTACACTTTTGTCAGTATAATGTAAGATTTAGGCACAGTGGTCTATTTAATGGGATATCACTGCTTTAGAACTCTTGTCAATTCATGAGTGGCTTGTGGCTCTTCTCTTATAAAGAAATACCTTCTATAAGCTGTTTGTTTTTGTTGACGTGGCTTGTCAAGCTGATGCTTGTTTTGATTGTGCGTTTCAGACTCTCAATGGTATTCCTGACCAGGACACCTATTACGATATTGTTGATTCGTTAGAAGAGCAGGGAATGGAACGACTTATACAATATTACATGTCCAAGCAAGGCACTGACTTGGACCTGCTGCAGCAATTCCGAATATACGAGGTACATACACTTTTCTCCACATATTTCGGTAGTATTTAGTATTTAATGTCAACTGCCTTGTTATGTACCTTGATGAGTATGTACCTTGATGTGCCTTCATTATGTGCTCAGCTGCATTGAAAATGCATAATATTGCATCTTAATAGTTCTTACAGGTAAGCTCTTAACTCTTATATATTCTCAAGTAGGGCTGCTAGACTGTTTTGTAACTTGGTTTTTAACCACAAAGGCATATTAATAAAATACTGGTTCACGTTTGATACAGGTTTGAGGTTTGAGGCTAAACAATCTATGATGACACAAAACAAGTGCCACCCTTCAAATGATGTGCTCCGGTTCATGTGCCTTCCTAGAGGACAATGGCAAATTAATGAAACAGCACAAAAAGATTCAAGAACATATACCGCACTGGCACATGCCTTTGCTGCACATAATTTGCATTGTATGTCCAGCATAAAAGAAAAATAGAAGCAAAATACTTCACAAAATATTAATGGTGCAACTGAGAACGAGAGAAGACAGGCTATTATATGCTATAAGAAAACAGGACAGGATATTAATGCGATAGTGTTAAAGAGCTCATTTCACAAAAATTTCGGCGTCGGCATCATTGGTAGCGAGTGAAAAATCATCATCTTATGACCGGGAAATCGAGAAGGATGAAAATAAAATGAATGATGAACACAGGGTTGTTTGGGTCCAAGTGGGGATCGAACCAGGGTTGTTTGCGTGGCAAGCGGACATTTCTGCTTTTGAAGACAGTAAAAAGAACTTCCTCTGCTTGTAAGTGCAATGAAAGTAGCTTTCATGCTTCACAAACACATGCGTCTTGTATACACGCTTCACAATGCAACATGAAATATTGCAATAATAATGCATGGTACAAGCGTTCATTGCCAAAGGGTGTCAGAATATGTGATTATCATAATGGCTCCGTGGTTTAAAGCCGGTACCCCACTACAAAAGGCATACACGCTACTGCGCCTATTTCCTTAAGGCCACGTAGTCGGTGCATAGCAAATTCGAAAAGGTTTCATGCACTAATTGTTTGAAGTACGCTCTAGGTACAGGATGTCTCTATTGCGGTCAACTCCTAAAGGCGAAGCTTTAGGGTCCCCTAATTTTTACATGTCCTTACATATGAAGAAAGACCAAGCAGCAATGCTTGGGGATGGACATTGCACTCGCAGTTTTTGATTGATACTGATACATGCATGTTGACATTTTGTGGGACGATGCGCGTGTGTGCCTGATGAAGAGGACGAAGAGTGGTCTCCGCTGGGTGCCTGGTCTACCGGTCACGCCCCTGCTGCTGCTGGGATGAAATATGTCAACATGCATGTAGCGTAATCCCCGGCGGCCTTCCGTAACAATACCATGACTTTGCTTTTACATATTTGCTAGGCACAAGTAAGGCCTCTTTAATTAAGCTTCTTAACTTTTTGTTGTAATGTTCACCTAACTTTCAGTTCAAGGAAATAAAGGATTTCAACTGTTATAGGCAGGTTGGAGTTGCATTTTTATATTTTCTTTTTCCTATGCTTGAAGTTGACTCCTGTTTTTACAAAGTTGCTATGAATAAAGCACTGTATATGTTACTTGCAAAGAGAATAGTAGTTTTGAGAAAGCTAGGCGGAGTAGATAGTGTGTTTCAGTCCTTGACTGTAATTTTTTTCAAGTGCTGAAGAAGCACATGGCTCTCAACTTCTTCATTTTGTAATGCGGGATGCCACATAAATGTGGACCTAATGTTGCTTTACAGGCTGTTCTTAAGCACGAAGATGGAGATGGGGATGGAAAAGCTCTGCCTCTTGATGTTCGACTGAGGTATGTACCTAGGGTAGTTTCTGCACAAGAAAACAATCACATACATGTTTTGCTCTGCACAATCACACACATGTCTTGTTGTTGTGACTCTGCACAAACTGCATGCTGCTTGTACCTTTTGTCTGAAATGAATCTAGACTTAAACTGAAGTTCGTTATTATACCATGGTTCTCAGAATTACCTAGTAGGAAGAAGCCCTCAGTGCAATGGCATTTCTGGAGCATAATAGATTGATGTTAAATAATGGATGGGGTATATTATTACAAGACAATGCAGTGGCTATTACGAAAGCCATAGTAGCAGTCTCTATGTTAATTTTGATCATCCAGTTTAGTTAAGTGCACTTGATATTCTGTGTGTGAGTACTTTTTTAATTGTGTCTTAATCATACAAATGTAGATAATGCATCTATGCTAACATGATGGTACATCTTGGCAGTTTCATCATTACTTTTCATGTGGTTCTACATCTAGGGTTTTTTTCCAGTGAAATACTTAAGAATTCATTCATACGCTTTATTTTTTTTTAATTTGTTACTTTATTTGTTTATTGCATTGTTACATTATGACCACATAGTGTAAGCAAGTGGCTTGAGAAATTGGGTGCATTGTTGGTTGTTAATCCTGAATAGCTTTAGCGACATTATTTTTATTCTAACTGGAATTTCCTTTAATAGTGAGTCTGCGGATTGCTATGGCATTGCTTGTGCTTCTAGCAAAACACAAATGTCTGGGAACAGGAGCTACTTCCATGTCAATACAGTCATAGATACACTTTCAACTCGCCGCCTCTTTTCAGTGTGAAATTCATGGTGTTTAGACTATGATATTTTATAACTGCCTGCACAAATTCATGTGTTTTGAATTTGTCATATCTGCTACAGTTACATTCACTAATGCTCAAGCACATTAGTCACAGCTTGGCTTACAGTGCAATAACAACCCTGGTTTAACTTTTTCAACTTTTAGTTTAATCTTCTACACCATGCTACATCCTGTTATCAATTATTATTTTTTAGTGTTCTCACCACTCACACTTTAATGATGTTTCACTGAACTTGCAATGTGTTTTTTTTTAATCCTTTTTTGTTGAGTTTCTTGTGATTCGACTAAGTGGAGAAAAATTCAAGGAATTTCTAGGGGCACAGTTATATTAAGTTTCTGTGCTTTTGGGCGATTTTTAGCTGAAGGGTACAACTTGGAGTATGCAGCTGTAACGAGTATTGTGGTATAGTTTCTTATAGGCTTAATTTCTTCTTCTTTTGCTTTATCTGCCAATAGAAAAATGTTGGAGTGGAGTGAATTGTTTGTGTGGAGTGTCATAAGAACATTCAGAATACTTTCATGCTGTTTCCTGGGTCAGAAAGAAATCATTTGATTTATTAAGAATACTCATAGTGTGAAGGCTCGGAAAGGTCCTACATTATATCCTTTAATTTCCTTGCAATATGTGAGGCTGTGTCAGGGGCAGGCTTGCAATTTCTCACAGTTTGCCGAAAAGTTATATTTCAACTATGAACGGCAAAATATGTGGACCTCAATAGATACAGATCCACACATATCATCTGTTTGCACTTTTTATGACATGTTAGTCTACATTGTGAAATCACTGGAAAGGATGTCACAAGGCAGTTTTCTATGGATTAGCAGTTTCTGCCCTTGTAAGGATGTATTCATGAGATGATATTCTTCATCTGTCACTTTTATTTTCTTCTCAACTAAGGCAAGTTCCTCGTAGTCGCAAGTCAAGTAGTAATGATGAAAATGAGAGGCGGAAAAGCCGGCGTCACTCACTGGGAAACCTTGCTCCGAATAGTACGAGTCCTTTCAAACAGCGGCCTTCACCACTTGCCAAGACACCTGAAGCAACCAGTACATTTCCACAATGGAGGAGAAGGTATGTACTGGTAAATACTACATTTGAATCTGAAGTCATGGACTGCGTGCAGGATATGTTTATTTCTCCTGATTCAGAAACTTATGAACTGATGAGTGGAAGGGTACTGTATGTAGCTGATCTGATATTGAATAGATGCATTTATATTCCCACTTTTAGGCACACTAGCATTTCGTTTGGCAGAAGCACTGTAGTGGCCTTCATGAGAGAAGTTAAGGGGTGAAATACGTAAATGGAATCGACAGACGAAACTGCTTTATTGTTCTACATCATTGTATGTTAAATTAAAGTTAAAAAGAGCTGTTTATTTGAAATGCTCAGTATGCCTATTGCTGGGCAACTGCTGGGAAACAACAGGAACAGATTACTTGAGTAGTGTTCTCATGTTTTCATAAACATCTTGTATACTTAATTTATATCTTTCGTAGTAGAATTACGATTCACTCTAGTTTATAATGTGACATAACACTGTTTAAGTAAGCCCATCTGGCTGAAATGGACCAATAAATTTAAAGGTTACTATGGCCCTTCAGTCTCCTTACATTTATTGTATGTGAATGTTAGTACAAAGTACACAAAAAGACATAGAGCATAATAATGAGGATGGTGAAGTTGCGGCATGTCTATGCACATTGACTACAGTTTAATCCCTTTATAAAAGACCGACACCAAGGAGCAATTCTTGTCTTTTATATGAGGTGTCTCTTATCAGCAGGGTACCATGCACGCATTTTCATATGAACCCCTATTTCACTGTAGGTGCCGCACTGGTGTCTCTTATACTCAGTTGTCTGTTACATCAAAAAATGTTATAAAGGGGTTCGACTGTATATTGAAGTTCATGCTCTTCTAATGTTTGTGTCACATGACATTGTCACATGACACCATAACTTGGTCATCAGACCTTAAAACTTAAGGTTCTCGATCACGTGACTCTGTTAAATGATGTGATTAGTTGATCATGTACTCTAGTTGAGCAAAGTCAGTTTTCAGGGCAGGTAAATTAAATTGTGAGAGTAGGCCATGTCGGTTTTCAGAGTTACTCCACTCAATTTCCGAAATGGGGAAAGTTGATTTTTGATGTGGGTCAAGTCAATTTGAAAGAGGGCCATGTTGGTTTTGAACAGGGCTCTGCTAAATGTATGAGTTAGGCGAAGTTGAATTTCTGGGTGTTGGCCAGGTTCATTTTAAGTGAAACTGAAACGTAATGGCATCAATTTATCAGATGGGCTTGTTGCCATCGGATGTTAATGCTGCATGGACACTGTGTGCTAGTCAAATTTTCCACTTTATTGGAAATATAATTTTTTACATGAAAAAACGTACTTGCAGGTAATGTTAGTGAAACTGACTCATTTAATTATCAGTTTTACTTACTGATATAACTTTATTAACAAGATACTTTGTTAATTTTGTTGTCGAAGGTAGTTTGTATTTGATGCTACTTGCTTGATTTAGTTGTTTTTTTGCTTCAGTCAGTATTACACTTCTCTGAAGGATTTCCATGTGTTTTTTATGATGTAGACACGAAAAATTTTTTGGTGTTGTAGGGATGTTAACCAAAACGAAGAACCAGTAAAAACGCCTGACCATGGAAAGAATGGGATCGCTCACAATGACGTTGATACCCCGGAAATAGGTGAGTTGAGTGTGAAACTTAGTCACCAGATTAACAAATATCAACAACGGTCGTTGTTGCCACTTCTTCTAAATAAACATGTACCAAGTTCTAGTTCATTTCATCCGGAAGCCTTCACTGCATGATGTGAAATGCAGAACTTGGAGGAGTGGCATAGCGATTGAGAATAAAATTTTTTAGACAGTTTGGCATGTAGTATAGTCATTTTAGGAAGCCTTTTGGGTGTACCATTGTCATAAAAACAAAGTATAATCACCTCTCGCCCTTCAGATTGTAAAGCTATGCTCTTATACGTGAATTTGTGCCTAAGCTAGTAGCACTGAAAGACTCGCTCTGTCTTAAATCTTGAACTTATTGGCAGAGCTTAGTACTAGGATGTGATATTGCAGACTGCATGCATAATTGCACTGACCAAAACTTTCAATGTCAGGCCATATTTTCAAGCTGCAAAGATATTCAACTTTTTTGTAACTCAAACATTATCTCAATACAGGATTATGGTCTGCAGATGTTTGTCTTTATGTGTTTGGGGGGCTGGCTTGTATTTTACGAAAATATATTCATTTTGAAGAGCATCATGTGGACGTTAAATTTTAATTTAATAAAATGGGGACAAAAGAGTGTCTGATATGCTCTTCATATTTACATTATAAAACACATATTTAAATACCTTTATTTTGGGAGTAAAGGGGGTGCCCGAAGCAGTAGGTTTGCTTGTATTGTGTTTTTTTTTTGGCAGTGATAACTTTTCTTGTGCAATCTGGGGCTTTAAAAGCTGTTCTAGTTGCTGTTCTGAGTCTTTTTCCGCTTCATTTTATGCATAAGACGGATTTGAAAAGCTTGCACTCTACTTGTTGGTTTCATTTTTACTATCGATCGGCATGCTTCCAGGAAAACACCCTTTCCTAAAATTTTTGTGTAGCGTATAACTATAGCTATTACATAACAGTACTAGTTGTTCTAATAAATTTCAGCAAGCTTGAAAGAACCCACATGTATGTATATACATATAAAAAGAGGTTACTTTGAAAGTACCCATGGTCTGTCTGACAATGTCTTTAACAAGCTGAGCGCGAAGTAGGCGATAATGAAAACTGCTTGGAATATTTCAAACAAAAGGGGAGGGGATTAAGGTGCCTAGTTTTAAGAAATTTAAAACAGGCTGGCTGTTTTTTTAATTACTGTGTCATTTTTGTGTGCTGAACTAAGTCTTATGTTGTCATAATATATGGGAAAGGCTTTTAATTTTGCTTCTATTTATTGTTATTATTATTATTTGTGTGTGTGTGTTTGTGTGCTTTGCAGATGATGTTGTAAATGGCATTACTCCTGCATTGAGACGGCGACGGGAGCGGGATGCACGTAATCGTTGCCTCATTCGAGAACAAGAGGAAAATGGCCGTGACCATCAGACAACTGTGTCACCACCAGTCCCATCTCCACCGGCAAACTTCACTGAAAAGCAGCCTCAGAAAGGTGTGTGAATCAAGTATAGCATTTCTTAGTGTATATTTTTACACATGCACATTTACGCTATTATACATGCCAAACTATGAGATCATGTGTTTCTCTTTGCTATACTATCAGTTTTTTGAGCATCTGTCAAGTGTAATATTGCAACCAATATGGTAGGGGTCCACACCGTCTTGCTTGACTGATTTTCAAGATTTTTGTAGTGTCCTGGAAACTATATGTGACACTAGTATACTATATGCCATTATTTTGGCAAATTCATGTTCACTTGCTACTTAAAAAGTGCTCTTACACCCAAATTATGTACTGATACACTTGTCACGGTGAGTATGCAGTAGCAGTTTGTTGTAGCTAAAAAAACTTGGTGGATGCTCATTGCCTTCAACAGGGGAATATAATATTATTATCAGGACCCTTTCTCATTGCCTTTTTGTTTTCTTGCCATGCTTTACTTCTAGGTGGAAATATCAACCATTGTTGTCAGGGATGGAATGTCTGCATGCATGACATTTGTAGCTTTAAACTCTGTAATGGCACTTACTGCAAATGCAGCTGTGATGTACTACCTACAATAGTATAATTTATCATTTTGCAAAGAGGAGAAGTGCCTATTGTGCATTTGTGAGGAAATATGCACATCTACATAGCTACACAGCATTTCCCCTTGTGGCTGATCATAATGGTGTTGATGAAAAGTTATGGCTGAGCCCTTTCTAATGAGTGGGCAGCTTTAAACCACCCACTTGTGAGGCTATTTACATGGCATAATGCCTGATGTGACTTCATTCATCTTCCACACAATATTATGTAGCTGCTTAATTTTAATTTGTTTTAATTTTCATGCCCCACTTGATGCCGATTTTGAGACTTTTTACCAGGCTGTTTAAACATCTGGCATTGCTCTGTGTTAGAATATTTGACCATCTTGGAAAATGTCTGGATTGACTTTACTTTATCTGTTTGAAATTATGTATTCCTTGTTAATGAGACCAAGCACCTGTGAGTGCCTCTAATAATGATGTTCTCATTTATGTTCATGTATGCTTACATTTAGATTTTCATTGTACAGTTTTTTTTGCTACCTTTAAATTTCCTGCATAGAGGAGAGATATTTGCAAAAAGAAATAAGGGGTGCCTTTTTCTCCTTTAGGCAATCACAGACACTTGTGCAAAAAGTTCACTAAGGTACATATTTATTACAAAGAAAAGCTGAGAAAATAGAGCTTGAAATCAGCAGAAGTTTGCAGTTTGTTTACAGAAGAGTGGGTGAAAACATGCAGCCTATTATAATGTAGCTTATCATGGTATGTGCAATAATCTATTGTGTTATTACAGAGTATATTGCTTATAACATGCTTTGCACATTCGATTTCCTGTCCTGAAGAGTACCTTCATGAGTTTGACAACTGCCAAGCAGCAGTGCTGAACACCAGAAAAGACTACTTTGTAATACAGGGCAGAACATGCTCTCCAGTGTCAAAATATGCGAAATATTTTACAATAGGAGTGATTGAAAAGTAGGTACTTGTTTCGGATGCCAAGGGATTTAAGGGAAATTTATTTGTTTATGCTATCCTAATTGCAAAAGGTTTTGTGTAGGCACTATCAAGTATAGTATACCTGATTCACTTAGTAAATCATCATTAATCAGACCATATATATTGGAAATTACTAAATGAACTACTAGTGCCCACATGAATATGTTTATTCATCTCTACTGTAGGATGATTAGTTAGCCTTTTCGTATCATGTAGAAATAAACATAGCTGATTTACTCTCTGCTTGGTGCACATGTTGGAGACACAGGACCATGGGATATGGTGTTGCTTCTGCGAGCCAAGCAAGCTAATATTGAAGTCATTACATCAGAATATCGACGTTCGCATTTTGATTGTATTCTTTGTCACAGTCGGATACTATATGCCCCTTTTAAAATATGTATATGTATAGGAAAAATGAGTGTGTTGAATAGTGAAATGAGCCTATATTTTACAGGGCCATCTTTCATTGAGCGCACCCGCTCCCGTTTTGAAAGCCGCATTGAAGATGAAAATAGAAAAAATCAACAACTTTCTCAACAACAGCAACAGCAACAACAGCAGTCACCTGTAACTCCTAACTTCTCTCCACTTCAGAGGCCTACAAATCTGCATGTGGAGCCACCAAAGACCTTCAGTGTCTGCCCAAACAAATCCCCACAGCCCTACATGAGTCCAACTCAAAGGGATCCAAACAAAAAATCTTGGATGCTGTCCATGATGTATGGAAAAAACCAAGAGGAGGAAAATTCGCGTGAGGAGGAGTTAGTTCGACCACCACAGCAGCTTAAAAAGGATGGTCTTCGAGAACTTCAAGATCGTATTAGTGGAAGGACAACAGACAGCCCAGCCACAGACATCTCCACGGCTGGCGCCGTCAGTCGAGCAAAAGAAGGGCTTGCCGCATCACGTTCACGATCTGACTTCCGATCACTACTTCCACAGACAAGCTCATCTTCGATTCCTGACTTGCTGTGGAAGGCCGACAATGACGTTCAGTGGGAACAGTTAGTGCGATCCATCAGGCGGCCACTGCTCATCAATGACCTTGATTTCACAGACCTAAGAGATGATGATGACACAGATGTGCTCCAACCAATGAACTGTGGATCTGGCCAGCCACCACCACCGCCACCACCCACTGGAGGGCTTCCTCCACCACCACCTCCAATGGGAGGGCCACCTCCACCTATGGGAGGGCCACCACCCCCACCTCCACCAATGGGAGGTCCTTCCTTTGGTGGGCCTCCGAAAGCTGCTCCACCACCTCCAGCTGCTCCATCATGGCTTCAACAGCGGCAGCAGCAGCAGCTAGCGCAGCAGCAAGCTCTGAATGCCCTTCCACCAAAAAGCAAAAAGACCGTGAAGCTTTTTTGGAAGGAAGTGAAGGTAGACCAGTCAATGTTGTCGAAAATACCTAAGAAGAAGACCATCTGGGATGAACTCAATAGGGTGCATGTGGACACACAAAAGCTGGAACACCTCTTTGAGAGCAGGGCCAAGGAAGTTCTGAACAGGGTAAGTCAGCTAGTCTACATAACATTGTATCTTAGTGCATATTAATGCCTTGCCAAAGCTTTGCTGGTGACCTGATCATGTGGAACTGTTTTGAGCTTATGCAGTTGCATGTGTACAAGCAGGATACCTATTTCCTGTATTATGTAACAGAAAGCTTATGTGGTATCCTGGAAAAGGGAAAGAAAAAGTGCTTTAGTGAAACCACTAATGAAGGTTTTCCATTTGCACCTGCCCAGAAATAGTGTGAATATCACAGAAATAGTTTCAGTACTGTCATTTAAAATTTTAATAGATGAATACCTGAGTGCTTGTGAAAAGTTTCTATGCAAAAAAATGTAGTAATACAAGAGGTGTTTTGTAGGAGATTGTCTCTGATAGCATTAGTGCCATTCCTGCTCCTGTAATCTTTGCTGCAAGTAATAATCGTGGATAAATAAGTGCAATATGATAAATTAATTTAAGGTCACCACGTCTTTCACTACTTGTCTGCAAGATATAAAGGTGTTTTAAGGCTTGTATGGAGGAATTAGTAGTTTTAGTTTTCTTGCTTGACATAAGCCATTTAACCTGTTGTTATTTTCTTTCTTCTAACTGACTAGGAAGGGCTGTTACAAAAACATTAAAAAGCTAACTTAATTAGTAGCTGCAACATGCTTAGCTTCTTTAATTCTTATAACCAACACAGCCTTTACCAATACAGGCACATGTTAAATCGGCCTATGGTCATCAATTATAATAGCATCAAGTATAATCTACTTGCTTATGTTTTATGGCTTGCTTGATCATGACTTAAGTTCAAATGTGCTTTACAGGCATAGTAAGCTCACATCTCTAGTTGCAGTAGTTAAATCAATAATTAGGACACATTTAACAATACTTCCATGCTAAGCAGTATCATCATTGTGTAAACACTTTATTGTTGAATTGAAATAAGAGACTCCTGTTGTTTTTTCAATTTCCTCAAAAGGAGAGCTTTACAAAGCTTGCTCAATATGTAATAGGTGCCAATTGCTTTATTACTGTCCTCTCTCGCTCTTTATTACCAAAGTTATTTGGACTTTCAAGGCATAGGTTTGGGCTGTGGTTTCATTCTTGCGGGGTATGCATGCCTGCTAACACAAGGCGTCTCTCCTTGCAACACACTTGCTGCTGCTTGGGCTGATGACCTGCAATGGAAATCTGTGCTCTGTTCAGGAGGTAAGAACTGTGACAGGCTTTGTTCTTTGTCTTCTCTGCTGCTTTGCATGTCACCAGGATTAATCGAGCAGGATTACATCTTCTGCTACCACTATTTTTTTTTCCTCTTATTTCTTCTGGACAAAGCCAGTTTTGCAAGCATAACCACACACCCTTGAGCGCAAAATAATCCTCTTGCTGGTGCATAGTCTGAATGAAATTCTAAATTCACGATTTGTCATTATGCGTAGCATATGTGGGCAGGCTAACACTAAACAATCATATGCTTGGTGCATCAGCTGAAGAATGTGTAGAAGTATTTGTGCCAGTCATTGGAATTGAATTGAATATCACATACTTAAGGGGACCATCAAGGAAAATACATTAGTTACTTCGGGAATGGTACATCACACACTTTGATTGGGATGGGGTGCGGTGTTGGTCATCTACATATGTCTACTTAATGCAGACAGCTTCATGGTCATTGCATACCCAGGTTCTTATGCCACAGAACGTAGCACGTTATATAATACTGGCACAGCAATGAAACATTGTAACTGAGCACATGAACGCACAGAAACTTACTGAGCAGTTTTTTCTTGCTCTGTTTTCTAGTAAAAAGAGGAGTGACGAGGTCTGATGTGCGCTGCAAGTGGTGCTGTGACTGCTTTATTGTAATTGCCCTCTTTTTAAGTTGATGGAAAGCTCTTGCACAAACAGCTCTGTACAAGGCTTTTTGTGAAGAACTAATTTTACAAATCACGAGGGAATTGCCATGACACTTTATCCCAGTGCTTATTAGAATATGTCCCTTTTTCTACCTCACCATACCAAATGATATCACCTGGGTGGATACTGGGAGCTCAAAAGATGTATGGTGGACCGATGCCATTTGGGTGAACTTATGAGATGAACCAAGAACTATGAATAGAATCTGTTACATCAATTATAGTTGTAACGTTACACTTTACATGCTAGAAGTTCATGTGTGGTCAGGAAAAATATCAATTAATTCTATAGCTATCTTTGTTACGATCCTATATAGCTTGATGTAGTAATTGTATTGACATGCACACATTATCTTATTCTGATTTTGCCTTGTGGGATATTTCCAGTAATGATATTACACACTCTGTATTGGCCGCAGTTCGCAAAATTCAGGCAGCACCTGTTGCACGCAGTATTTGTTTTGTTACACTTGCTCGAGGTGGAACTTATTTTAAAAAAGAGGGCATTTGGCCTTCTGTTTTATGTTTTGACAGTTTTTTTGCCCTGCAGCTGTTTCATATTTTGCAGACACAATAGCCACTATCATGATCCAAGTGCCATGCTACACTAGTTTGTTTTCAATGCCCAAAATTGTTTAGAGGCCTTTTAAATGCAGGTCATCGTTTTATTTAATTATTGCAAGGTTATGTACTGAAACCTATAATTTTTGCTCAGGCAATAACTTAGGGTACTTAATTTTCTTTTCATCTTTCTTATGGCAGTTATTCATGTAGTAGCTTTTAAAAGTGTAGTATTAAACTTGCAAGCATTTTTTCTGCAACGTTCATTGCAATATGGTGTGGTGGTTACAGAAAAACCAAGAAGGGAAAAAGAATGAGGTTATAGTTCTTGATGCAAAGCGCTCCAATGCCATTAACATTGGCATGACCAAACTTCCACCTCCAAGAACAATCAAAACAGCTATCCTAAAGATGGACAGCACCATTATGAACAAAGAAGGCATAGAGGTGAGTACCAAATTAACAGAACTCTCTAGGTTCGGCATTCAAATGTATACCTTTTTAATAGGCTGTAGTGCACTTGCATCAAAATATTTCTGGTGTGTGCTGTGTTGTGAACAATGCTTTTTATAGTGTTCTGTGGATACAAAAATCTTCCAACATGCACTGAGGCTAAGGAAGCAGAGCGAAACTGAACTAAATTTGCTCCATTAAAGTGTATAGTAACAAAGTAAACTTGTAGTGTATTCATAATTCCATTGGACAGAAAGAGAATGGACGTGGAAAATAAAACAACTTGCTACCACTGGAGCTCATGACCTTCAGACACCACTAGCATTGATTTACTATTTGAATATGGCAATGCTGGCCCTTCTTTCACTTCATTGGCCATCTGTGTAAATGTCTGTAAAAATAAACTTTTTGCTAGACATGTTGCTATAGTTTGCTGTAGATTCCTGCATCATGAATAGCATGATGCAGGAATACAAGGAGCAATGGACACTGTGTCAGCTAAGTGCAATTAAAAAGTGTGTGCTACTTTTGCGGTTGTAGCAGTGCACGTTGTTAACAAGTGAATTGGGTAGAACTGCAGAATGTAGTTTGCGCTTGTAAAAATGATTTCTTTCCTATAATGACTCTTCTCATGGCCATTTGTGTGCTTTTACTATATCGGTTACATAGTTTGTGCATGTACAAGGTAAGATTGAGCATGACTTGTGCTGGAATAATACAAGTACTAATACGATTGACATGTTATAAAAGGTTCCTTATTCTTTTTGTTTTTCCAGAAAATTTTGACGACAATGATGCCAGGAGAAGACGAGAAGAACAAATCATGGAAGCACAAATGGCGAACCCTGATGTTCCCCTTGGCAATGCAGAACAATTCTTACTGACACTTGCATCCATTAGCGAACTTGAAGCTCGTCTCAGACTTTGGGCTTTCCGCTTGGATTATGATGTCATGGAGCGGGTTAGTTGGCGTTATTTACTATCTATAGGTTCACTAACTTTCTATTTCAAAATCCTGCTTGCTTGTAGTCAGCAGTAGGAACTTCTGCTGACAATCTGGCTGCTTGAATTAAGCACTTTTGATAGGAGTTGTTTTCAGTCTTTTTCTTTTTGTCTAATGGATACAGTAAATATGCTATACAATGATGTGTTGTGTATTAGTGCTTATATGACCCTGTGATGATCTTAAAGTTTGTTTAGGTGATCTTAGATGTTCGTAGTCTCAGCTGTTAAATATACTAGGTGTACATGATTTGTATCTTCCTTCTTCAATTGCATGGGCAGTACTTTTTTTTTTCTTGCCTTGTTCTTGATTTTCTTAATTGCCCACCCTTATGCTACATTTCTCTTTAAGCTTTTAAAGATCTTAGGAATAACAATGGTGCTCAATTTCTTAGAGCATGAGTGCACTAGAGTGATTTCATTGATTGCGCATGGTTGAAGAAGCATAGAGCAGTCAGGCAGGAACTACCATGTGTTCAACATGTCATAGGAGTAGTTTCCCTTCTCTTCAACTCTAGAATGCAGTGATTGTATCATGGCAATTATGCTGATCATGCTCTCTATAAATTGGATTAAACTTCTTCACTTGTTCTACCCAGTAGAAGTTGCATAAGCAACTGTAATAATGACATTTGCAGGAAGTTGCCGAGCCACTAATGGACTTGAAGCAAGCAATGGACGAAATTGAAAGCAACAAGACATTCAGGGTTATACTGGCCACATTGTTATCAATAGGAAATTTTCTGAATGGAGCGGAGGTGAGTACAATGCTGAGAAATTATGGTGTGGAGAGTGAGAATTTTATTGTAGTTTCATGACTGCCTTTCTGACAGCAAAATCGGAAACATAAATAAACTACAGTATAAATTATACATCAAGACAGCAGTAATAAGCAGTATATTATACTACATTGGAATGCAGTAGCGTGAACTTTTTTCCTACGGGATCTTGTGGGCTTGTTTGTGTGTTTTTTGTCATACACATAACCTAGTGAACAATGGCACTGGGGAGCATGAAAGAGAGGGAGTGCAGGTAGTGAAGAATGAATGCAGCAGCATTTAACAGCAGTGGTCTCATCTGCAATAGACAAGCTGCCCCAGCAAAGACTCAGTGATGTCGACACAGGAATTCAGAGGTTTGCACCAGCAAAGCAGTAGCTAAGCACCACCGCTGGAAGAACTGTGCTGTTCACACTGCCGAAACAGGTTGTTGCCACCTCGAAGATGTACTTGTACATCTTACCTGCACTTTTCATCTAATTCAGTGCAAAATTATAATGCCAAAACTACTGCTTGACGTGGTGGTCTAGTGGTTATGGTGGCTGACTGGTAATCCGCAGGACCCGGGATTGAATCTTTGCTGCAGCGGTGCATTTTGATGGATGCGAAATAGTGGAGGCACGTGTGCCTATATATAGGCGCACCTTAATGAACACCAAAAAGTAAAAAATTTCTGGAGCCATCTACTACAGTGTGCATCTCTAATAATCATATTGCGGTTTTGGGATGTAAAATTCCAACAATTATTATTATATTACCAAGACTGCTGTGCTCAAGTATTACATTACGCAGCATTGTAATTGTCAGCAAGTTTCTTATAACTTGCTCAGAAAGCATTGCCATTCTTTTCTTATTCCAACAAAGAATATATGTCTGGTTTATCGTATGGCCATTTCTTGTATAGCTAAAAACTTTTAAAAAAATATTCTCTTATATTTGTTATCTTCGTGCCATTTTGCACAGTTCTGATTGTAAAACTGGAGGTAATATGAAACTTGGCTTCTGGCATATATCACATTTTGAAATGGTGTATTCCATGATGTTGGAAATTGTCATTAAAGAGGGATACTGAATGAAACAATGACACCAAGATTTTCAGCTTGATTGAAAGCTTGGATGTTGAAATCAGTTTACATGACCTCATCTGCAGGAAGAAACTCTCGTCAAATAATAAATTCAATGTGCTTTTCACAAACTGCCAAGTCTAGCAGCTGTTCCATGAACTAGAAGAGGTGACTTGTGCGTTAATTGGGCTCCCTGCATAATTGCTTACCCGTTGCCATTGCCAGCCATTGCTCGCATCTCGTCCCACTCTGGTTCAACAGTATAAAGCAGTGCTAGGGTCTTTAGAACCAAGCGGGCATGTTTGTGTAAGAAGAAAGGGGTTTTTAAAGGAGAGGTGGTGAGAAGAAAGTAGTGGATTGGAAGGCACACACTGGCCGGCCGTCTCTGCTGCTGCTACTACTTCTGGTGCTGGTATGTTTGACTGTCATGACTGTTAATGCGCAGCTTCACATGTGCTGGCTCGCAGCCACTACGTGGCCACTGTGCTCCAAAAATACAGCCATCTGTTTAAAAATATGATAAATAAGCAATGTTTATCAGAGCAATTTCATCTTCAGAGCCATCTGTTTAAAAATATGATAAATAAGCAATGTTTATCAGAGCAATTTCATCTTCAGAGTAGAACTTTGATGCTTTGGTCATTTTTTTTATATTTTTGTTCAGTATTCCTTCAAATGAGAAAATCAAACCATTGCAGTTTTAAAGATCAAAGGGACCATAAGCACAAATATTAAGTCCACGTTGATTGTTGAAATAGCGGCCCAGAAACTGCGTAGTGCTACTTTTGTGCCAAGGAAGTGCTTATATTATATAGTAAAATCACATTTTAGTGGTCCGTATCATGTTGGCACACTTCAAGTTATCCATCTGAAAGTGGTCTTTCTGACGTCGCTGTTGCCGTGTCCAACGTTTCAAGGTAACGGGAACCTCAGCAGCAACAATGGCCATTGAACAATTTTCAGCTTGCTTGACCTAATTGAGCCCTGCTAGATGGCACCACCTATTCAGCCTAACCAGGCAAAAATAACTTTTGAACCACTCGCGCCATTTCTCAAAGCAACGCCAGGCGTTTTTTTTTCTATTAATTAAATAGAAGCAGACAAGGTGCATTTTATTATATGTTGTAGTGCACGGAAGGTTCTTTTCTGACTGCGGTTGGTTTTATTACCAGTGAGTAATTGTAGTCGGACACTCTCGTGTCATTGGGATCATTTCAAAAATGCCCCACTCGGGGTGCATGTGATGTCGTATATTTATCTTAATTCCTTGATTAGTAGCGCACCATTGTTGATGATGTTGTTGTTTTAGACATTCCCAAACATTGATCTTTTGCTCTCATATAAATTCTTATTTGCCTTCAGTGTCCCTTTAAACTTTTCAAATGATTGCTGTTGACATGTAAGAAATAAAGGATAGCAATAATGTAAATTGTCCTCACTATAGTTTCATACCTGCTAAGTCTCCCGGATTGTCTGGGAGACTCCCGGATTTTGACCATTTCTTCCGTTTGTACGGTTGTCATGAAAATCTCCCGTAAATAGAAATTTCTGTACATCATCTGGCCGCATTGACAAAAATACAGGTCAGTCCACTCCAGGCTTTTTGCCAACCCACCGCATTTCATTATAAATTAGTTTAGGAGGCGTTCACCTAAATGTACAGTAGTCTCAGTGATGCGAAACTGCGACAGATACGAATTCATGAATTTCCCCAGCCAAATTTCACTGTGTCCATTGGGCCAAAATTCTAACGCTTTTCTGAACACTTTTGCTGATTGCGGCGTGTGAAGTGAACGTTACTACCGAAACTGTCGAACGAAGGCTGATCAAGAGCAGTATGCTCAAAGCTTCAAAAGTACGCGTGTGACCAGCGCACGCATGGTCTTCTACAGTGCATGTAGTTCTGGCCACAATTGCTGTGGACGAAACCGCGGTCGTTCTTGACACGATCATGTATGGCGACAATATTACTGAGAGAACTTTGAAAGACTGCGCACGTCCAACACTCGATCAGTCATAGCAACACTGCTTTCCACAAACTTGTGGACATTACTGCGGCAGATGCTATCATAGATAACATAAGACGACTTAGTTTTGATGGCATGTACGCATCCACGCACGCGGATTGAAAACAGAACTACAGTTTGCCGCAACCGCCGCGCACAAAACTGCGGCGACGCGGTAGGGATCTACGAGCTCCGAGGGCACGTGGCTAACGCAGCGGTAGATTAAAGTAAGTAAAGACATTAAAAAAAGGCTCGAAGCATTTTGGCGTTTCTGTCCAAAGAATCTAGCAGGGAGCAAAGCCAAAGCTTTGACCCGCGCTTTCGCGGCAGCTAGCTGTGCCGGTCTCGTTCGTTCACATGTGTCCCAGGAGGTCGAACGCGAGTTGTTTTGACGGAACTAAATTTTTCTATTTGTTTTGATGACGCGAAATTTTGTGAGTATTTGCGCTCTCCTGTGAGAAACTCACCTAAGTGGGAAACCTACCTCATGTATTTGGCCACTCCAAGCCATCATAAGACCGCAACGCCGATGTTGGCGCTTGCGATTGGGACCCTATCTACCCCCCTCTCCTTTTTTGAAAATTAATTCGGCGCGTCTACCCCCCCCCCCCCCCCCCCCTTGCCCTTGCGGAAATCTGCCGAGTTCAGAATCCTTGAACTTGGCAGGTATGTAGTTCCCATTGCTGTGGTGACCTTTGGCACATGTGTATCACATGCCCATTTTTTTTACTTACAAATAATTATTGTTCTTATCATCATAATTATTATCATCGGTGGTGGCATTCATGTTTCTGTTGTTTTAAAATATTTCAAGCACTAGGCCACTTTTTCAATTTTGTTTTATTTTATGGATTCATGTTTGTCATGGCTAATCTAATCATTAGACCAAAAAGAATGTTTCTTTAACCATTCAGGTATCGGGCTACCTTTGTAGTCGTATATCTGCTCTGAGGGAACTCTGTATGTTATGTAATAGTCTAATGACTTATCGAGTGGCTCGGTGATACATTTGTATAATTCAGTTGCTTGTGATCCCGTTATTTCACAGCATTTCAGAATAAACTGAATCATGCTTATTTCAGGTGAAGGGCTTTCAGATTGACTACCTGGCCAAAGTTCCTGAAGTAAAAGACACTGTTCACAAGCACTCATTGTTGCATCATTTGTGCCATATGGTCATGGAAAAGCACCCCGACACCACTGACCTCTATTCTGAGATTGGAGCTGTCACGAGGAGTTCTAAAGTGAGTCAAGAAGGTTGTTCTCTTGAAGTTGTATTGAAGGAATAGGCTCTATGACCTTCTTTAAAGGAACTCTGGCACTAAATTTGAAAACTCAAAATGCTTGTGCTGTTTGAGAGTCCTGCATGCTGGGGCACATCTGACTGATATTAGTGATGAGTGTTGCTTATAATATATTTTAATTTGGTTTTAAAGTAAAGGTGAGAGCTCATCTGAGTGTTCAGGTTCAATCAACATTTTCTATGATTTGACATAGACAGAGGCTCCCTTATGATGTTGCAGCGGTCAAGCAAGTGTTGTCGGCATTCGCTATTGGCGCCCACTGAGGACTATTGTTCGTCACCCCTCCTTCTCTGTTGTCGGACTGCTCTTGAGGTGGTTTTGGCTGCTTACGCACAGAATGCTTTTATTTTTTTAAAGGGGACATACTCGAAGCACCCACATCGCTTCGTTCTTCACTGCTTGCAGGTCCCCTTATTTGAAAACAGCGCATTCAGCATCACTAAAGCTTGAGCACACGTTGTCTCGGGCGCTGATCGGTTGTTGGGTGCTAGTTTCTTATGGTATTTAGGTGGTTGTTTCGAACTGATGCATAAGCAATTCTTGCATTAATTGTACGATGTGTTAAAGAGCTTACGAATAAATTTCGGCATACCAAGATACAAAGATACAAATTACTGTATAAAAGTCTCAAACAAAACTTTCATTGTCAGAGGTTCTTTAAGTCTTTTTCCAAGACAGTGTGCCTCTTTTTCTTATTTAAAAATTTAGTACTGAGTTTTACATTTCTTATTTTATTTATTCTTGTCCAAAGCATAATGTTAAATCATAATGTTTATGCATAGTTGAATAAGCACTGTACATGCATTAGTAAACATTCAAACACTTAAACATTCATTAAAAAAAATGACCATTGCGCATAAAAAGAGTCTGCTAACACTGTATTCCCATAGGTATTCTCCAAATGTTCATTGTCCGCAGCCATGTCCAAGTGTTTAGATCTGGGTCACATGCCCTACATCCCCACATTCATGCCACGAGACATACTTTTTCTCTTACACAATGGCCTTTTTTCCTCTTTCTCTGTTCCTTTTTCTCTCGAAGAATCACCATTAGCATTATTGAAGTTATGCACTCCCAAGATTGAAGTATTGCTAGCACTGAGCGTGGAAAAAAAAAATCTCAGAGCCCAGCAAATTTCTGCATTGAAGCGTCAGTCAGCGCCACATAAGGGTTGTGTTTCCACAGCTTGCTGCTGAGTAGGCCAACTCCATAACGTGTTGAATACGAGGAACAAAGGCTGCAGTTGTGACCAGAGGGAGCACTATTTCAGAAAGCAAAGTTTTCTGTCCAGACCATATTGCTTGAATGATGAAATGTTCATTAGACTTTTTTTACTTTCATGAGTGATCGCTGCGGTAAGACAGTCAATCTGGCAGTAACAGCTAGCGCCCATTCCAACATAAGAGCTAGCCATGGAAACTTTACCTTTTGCCATACAGAACTACTACTTATCTTAGCAGCAGTAATTTTGTTACTATTTGCTTTCTAAATATAGCATCATTTTCACCACTTTTACAGTTTGAGTGGAAGGAGTGAGGGCACGTAGACTGAACAGCCTTGACAGATGACCACTTACACTTAGAAAATTGCTTGGATCATGGCCATATCCTATAATCAAAGACGTGCATTGAGCACTCTTCATAAGTTTAATGGACTCACATTTAATGAACTGTTTATAGTTGTTATTATTGCTCTCTTCTACTGTGTTGAATTATGAAAAAAAAAAAAAAAAAACACCAGGCCTGCACGGGAGGCGCAGCACAGTCACAGCAAAGCTAGAAGAGCAGCCTTTCAGAGCCTTTTCTAAATACTTATTGGGTACTGCTGCAAGCAAACTTGCTGGGTACCCACTACAGCATTAGTAATGATGATAATTCTAGGTAGTGGGCCGGCATTCGCTATGCTATCCTTCGTCATTCTTCTGAGAAATGTGGTATCTGCTAAACACTTGCAAGTAATTTTGTGTAAATTGTTCATGTAATGACTGACGGCGATGAGGAATTATGTCTTAAGCGTTATGCACCGCAGTTGATAGGTGTCAAGATTAAGCTTTTGTAATCGGTTGGAGCCTGGACGACCACATGGTTATGCTATTCACATTGTGTGATGCCTGGTTGGTTCCATGCGATTTTAAAAGACTTTATTACTCATAATAACCCGATTTTTTTTTGGCCAACATCAAGCCTGCCTAAGGCAAGTTTGCGAGCAAGTACCAAGTACCGGCGTGGCTCAGTGGTGAAATACTGGGCTGGCACGTAGCGGACCCCTGTTCGAGCCCCTCTGTGTCCTTGGTGCTAGGTTTTTTTATTTCGTGCGAAGTGCTACAGACACCGGGGGCGGTGGACAACTACGGCACCACGCGTGACCCGAGTTGTGATCTCATAACAGCCTTCGCTGTACATATCTTATATTCATGCTATATGTATGTGCATAAAGAATTAATCCGTACAGATTATATTCACATTGGACCATGCTGTACATATGAATTAGTTGTGGTTGAAGTAAGGATTAGGCAGAGCTAGTGTTTTCTTTTGGTGATGACTGTGCAGGTAGGGCAAAAGATATATTTATCCTCATATTGCATTGAAGGGGTTTTGCATGTTCTTCTAATTGCTTACCACGAAGATACCTCATATCAATGATACATAATGTAACACTTATTAAAAAAATGGAAACAATAGCCATTGCAGATAACCTCAATGGGAAATACTTTTGACGTTTGTGACAAATTTCTTTTAAATAGTATCAGTATTTTAGACTAGTATGCCCTTATGTTCTTATGTTACAAAATAATGACAAAAAAACAGCAACAAGGACAGCATGCTTCCCATATGCATAAGTTTGTTCTGCGGAGAAAAAAGAAACTTTGATAAGCGCTAAATTGAGGTAGCCAAATTTTTCAACAATAAAAATGGGAAATTTTGACTACGTAATGTATGTTGTAACGGGCTCGAGGTCGATGGCAGCATCCCACCACTGCCACCAGTTGTCAAGGGCTCGAGGTTGATGAAGGCACGACGGGCTTCTTTACATGATAGCTGAAAGATGGGACTGTACAAAGATTCAGTAGAGATCCAGCTATGTACAAAGATTCAGCTGAGATTTCTCAATTATTTACAAAAATCTTCGGCTTTTATAGCCCGTTGTCTCCTTACATGGAGGTCCGAAGAAGTCGGTGACCACTCTTGCCACAAATCAGGTGACGAAGTCTCAGTGGTCCACCCATCAAAAAGGGTGCAGAATTGGGGCACTCGTGAGAAGAACGTGGGTGAAAATGTCCAATGGTTATCACGAGCGCACCACACAAGATGCTGACACGTTGAACCACTGCTGAACGTCAGCAGTGGTTCAAGGCTGTGTTCTGCTGTGTTCTGGAACTTTCATGAACATAGCTGTCCAGTGTGCTCGTTTCCTGAGGACGGCCACAGTGATGCCTTCCCCACGCTTTTAAACTGTCGGCCCTTTTGTGGCGACTTCGCGTACTAGGCGGCAATAGCCAAGTCGAGAGGTAGACTCTATAAGAGCTGCCACAGTGGTGCCGTCTCACGCTGTTCAAACCCGATTCAAGAAAGGGATGTTCGCAAAGCTTCCGTCGAGTTCCACGTAACCGACCACAGCAAACTGCCAGGCCCACCTGGAGGACAGTTTCGTGCTTTTCGCTTCTACCGGGCGTCGATATCGGGGAGAAAGCCATCTCACAGGTCTGCTCACGCACAATGGCGTTTGCTAAGACGAACTGCCGGGCCAAACGTAACAATGTGTATACATTTTTTAACTTGTGCACATAGAGGAAAGTTTACTACAGTTGTGCCACAAGTGCTACGGTTGTAGGAGTTTGAGGCTGTAAATTAAATGCTGAGTTGAGGATGACTGTAAAGTTTATATTGAAAAATTTATTAATAGTGGAAAAATTAACAGCCTCTTACTAACGAACATTTTACATCACTTAATTATATATTGTATGATTTCTGGTGTTGCTTGAATTCAGGTTGACTATGATGAGGTTGCAAAAAATTTGAGCAAGATGGAAAGTGATTGCAAGGCATCATGGGAGCACCTGAAAGTTATTGCCAAGCATGATGGATCAGCCATGAAGCCAAGTGAGTTTACTACTGCCACCACAAACCGAAATCTCTTGTCAGGGGCTTACTTTTTCAAGATAAAGTAGGCCTTTATTATTATTATTATTATATTATTATTATTATTATTATTATTATATTATTATTATTATTGCTTTTCTTAAACATTTTCACATAAGATGACATCAGTGTCCTATGTAAGTGTGTACACCAAGCATATTGCCATGTTCAACATTGGTAAATCATAAGCACTTTTCCTGCTTAATCAAAGCTTAATTTTTTAACAAATTTGACATAAGAAGCTAAAGCATACAAAATTCGCAAGTATACTGTACAAAATTATATATCAATGACAAACATGGCTGTAATGTATTAAGACTTTGAAAAGAGAAAGCAAATAAAAAAATATATTCATAAGCAGTATCATGTCATGCATCTCGCCACCAGTAGGGACAATAAAATGCAAAACTTTGTGCTAACTTTTAGCAAGACCAGTGCGGCAGTAAGTACATAATTTTTTTTCTAAGATTTTGGAAGTTATGCATGTCCCAGTACTTATTGTTTTGATCTTGGTTTGATTGAAGGCACCTGTGTTCCTGCACAATTAAAAAAAATATAAAATTCATTTTTCAAGCATTGTGGCCAACTCAGCTGAGTAATTAATTTTTTTCCAGACTCTCTGAATTTCTCAATGATTGTGCTGAAAGGATAGTCATTCTAGGCATCATTCATCGGCGTGTTCATAACAGGTAAGAGGTCAACAATCGTGCTGCTCTTATCCCTTCTGGTAACAAGATACCTCTTTATGCAATGACCAAATACCGTTGTCTTTCCCTAGTGCACTCACTAGGAAGGAACAATGCAAGGAGCTTGACCTACATTTTTCATTAATGCCTCATGTGGGTAAACATGTAAAGCACCACGCTGGCTATCAGGGCTTCAACTAGGGGTTGGTTTTAAGGTGTCCTGACCCCTTAAAAGGGGTCAGGACCCCCTCATTCTTCATGAATTTTTCTCATTCTTTAACTTTTAAGATGATATACTAAAACATTTGCACATGTTCACAATCACCACCAGTCATGAAAATTGTTCAAAACTAATTTAAAACTAGTAATTTAAAAGTATTGTCTAGTTATTATATATAAGAGTTGTGCTTGATTTACACTTTATAAAAGGAAGGTTATAATGGCCTATTTTTATATTACAATGAGCCCTTAAATATACACTTTCTTTCATTCATAGCGGGGGTCTCGTTCTGGCGGACCTTATGCATTGAGGTGATATGCGAGGTATAATTGGTTACCTGCCATCTTATAATAAGATCACATACTACGTGACGCCAAACAGTCAAGAGTGTTCCACACTCATCATGAGGGCAACTGGTGGTGCTGACTGAGGCTCCCACGCTTAATCTACATATATACCCTATATAGTGAGTGCGGGAAATAACCGCCACTGTAGCACAGTGCTAGAGCATTGGACACATTATTTGAAGGTCGCAGGTTCAGATCCTGCCGGTGGCAAGTTATATTTTTGCTCACTTTTCTTTCTACATATACATTACAGCTACTTCTTATAACTTCCCTTATACTTTCCCTGGCATTATTGTCTATTAGTTCTCATTAATATTGTCTAACAAAGAAAACGAGCCCTTAAATATACACTTTTCTTCACACAAAAATAAGGTGGTACAAACCTTCTAAAATGGCACCCATCCTATCCTCTCTAATCCATCCTTGAAAAAAAAAATGCTCTCTACAGCCCTTGTTGCTGCAGCACGGTCTGTTTGCTTCAAATGATGCAGTTGTGCTATGCATCAACACACCACTATAACAGTAATTTGAATGTAAACGTGCGCTGCTTTGTACTTCTGATAGTGCATGGGGGAATGTGAAGCGCTAGAAAGAAGTAAAAGCGCAGTCTGACATGTGTGTGCGTACATGTGGCAGGCCTCTTGGGATATTGCAGAGATCTAGAACCTACAGAATGCATCAAGTTCATATTAATAGTGCATGTTTAGTTAAGGGCGTTAATTAAACCTCTGGGAGCTTGAAGGTTAAACAGCAGTTTCTTTGTTGCCATTGTTTCTTTCCCTACTGGTGCTATCTCCTTGCCACATCTTTGCAAGGTCTAGCGGTATCAATACTGATTGTCTGGTTGGGTGTGTGACTACATGCAAAGTATGTATTGGCAGCTTGTATCCTGTTTATGTCGCATGCATCATCCTGTTGATGCCACGATGTGTGATGAAAAGCTCGGAAAAGCTGGTAAAGAAGAATGAGATGGTTATATGAATATCAAGTTGACTGGTTGGCTTTTGCAATATATTTTCGACAAAGCTGATGCCTCTATCACAAAATTTCTGGGCACGATGCACCCCACGACTTTTGTTTAGTTTTCCTTACACGTACATTACAGTGCCGAGGCCATTGTTATGAGACAAGTTTCCTGAAACACGAACGCATTCAGTTGTGCTTTTGTTTTCTTCCATAAACTGTCGACTGGGGTTCATATTTTATAAGCTGTGTAGACAAAGCTAAAAAAAGATAAACCTGATGGTACTTTATTGCATATGCTGTTATGCCTGAACTTCATTTCGCTCTGCTCTCTCTATCTTTCTCTCCTATTTTATGAACAAGTCGAAGGGTGAGAGTTCCCAAGCCGTCTTTCCATAGTTTTTTTGACGCCCTCCTCCACTGCTCAATTGCTCAATGGGAAATGAAGATTAATTCATTCATTCATTCGTTAATTCAAGTTTTACATATTTTGTAGTATTTAAAGAGCCAGTAAATAACTCCAAGATCCAAAAACTCTTATAAAGAAAAATATGTGCACTGTTACTTTGTGAACATGCTGCCGCAAGAATTTTACAAATACGTGCTATATTAAGGAAGTTGATTGATTTATATGTGGGGTTTAACATCCCAAGACCATCATATGAATATGTGAGATGCCATAGTGGAGGGCTCCGGAAGTTTTTAACCACCTGGGGTTCTTTAACATGCACCCAAATGTGAGCACACAGGCCTACAGCATTTCCGCCTCCGTCCGAAATGCAGCCGCCGCAGCCGGGATTCGATCCCGCGAGCTGCGGGTCAGCAGACGAGTACATTAGCCACTAGACCACCGTGGCGGGGCTATATTAAGGAAGTTACCGGGGTTAGAATATCGCTTTAAGATGGTTTCAAATTTTCGTCCAGTCTCGCCACCCTTCTTTTTCAGAGGCTGGGGAAGGCGTAGCCCGTTGTTGTGACTCCGCCCACTTCGGCAATGTAACAAGGCATCAGAAATTGACATCATCGGTGAACTCGATCAGTTGCAATGCACTTCCGCTTGCTGCGATGCCTGGTTGTTTACTGTTTACTGGGCGCTGATGCTTCTCTGCAGCCCAGTCAGTCGATTCGCAGCTGCCAACGATTTGCAGCAAAACTGCATTTCAAAACCCGGATATGAAATTGGCCCGATTTTTCAGGAGCGGACTGTCGCACCATCTGAGAGCTGCAACACAAAACAAAAATAATGTGTTTGATAATGGGTGTGCTCATCAACAGGTGGCGTGACAATCTACTCGCTCCCAAAAACTGGGCCAGTGACGTGTCCATATTTCGATACATAGAGCCTATGAGGAGTTTCGCAACTCATATGATTGAATAGCTCTGTCGTAGCCGTGGGTTGAAATGGGAACTGTCGTTGACTTCACTACTATTTGTTGAGACCTAGTTTAGACGAATTGACAAGCTGTGTGCTGCGTCACGTAGCCGATCCCCGAGTTGGCGTCACTGCATGTGGAAGGAGCATTGGTAAGGCATAGGAAAGGAGTGTGGGAATTGTTTTTCGAATATAGGCTTTGCGCGCAGCTCTGTCATCTTCAGAAAACGTGATCGCTGCAGTGTATTCTACGAATTGTCGAGCTTGTTTGGGCGGTGTAAAAAAAAAGTCAGAGCCTGTTGACTGGCCCTTTAACATGCTGATATTTTGCCGATATTATACATACGATTATAGGCCCTCTTCAGACCTTGAGGACAAACAAACAAACAAACAAAATATGACTGATAGCTTTGGGATACTGCTTGTCAAGTGGACACATCTTTAGTCATGACAGATTTCCAATACAGTCACTTTAGAAAAAAAAAAAGTGAAACTAGGCATCTAATTGAAGACAATTGCAAATGTCGTGTCAAAAGTCCAAACAGAGTAATACATAAAATAACCTATTTGTCTTACCTGTGCTCATTCTGAAAGTGTTAATAGACCTTTTTGTAATACTACGCAAGAGTGCTTTCCCTGTGCTGAATATTTGCGCAACAATGGCAGGATGTGTCGTGCTTCAAGTGAACATGAGGTGCTAGTTGCATGTACTTGGGTATGTCTGTTATGTGTGCGTTTATTTCAAGAGAGCTGAATCTACATTCTCGAGCCATAGCACTAGCAAACGGCTCTTGAACATACAGTATGCAATTTGTGCCAAGGCATCATTAGGTGTAAAAAACAGCATTGCAGAAAAGCTAGCTTTATAGTTATGAAAATGGTATATTGATAACACCCAACTGTCTGTTCCTCACAGATGTCTTCCACTCGATTGCACTCTTTTTTTTTTTCGTTAATGATTTCTAGACATGCAGGCTGACTTTTTTTCCCTCACTATGATGTATTGACTCTTCTCAGGAAGGATGTTTTTACCTGTGCAATCTTAGTGCATTTAGGACAACACTCAGAAGTAAAACTTATTTATTTATTTTTTTCCCCTTCAGGTTTCACAAGTTGCTGGTGTATCTGGGATGCCCACCACACTCAATTAGAGAAACCAAAGCACAGCAAGTATGCAAAGTCATCAGTGAATTTGCACTGGAGTATCGTACGACTAGAGAACGCGTCCAGCAGCAGTTTGAGAAGAAAGCAAACCACCGTGAAAGAAACAAGACACGTGGAAAGATGATCACTGAAGTGAGATGATTGCACATTGTAGTCACACCTCCCACTATAATGCAATCACATTATATTTTCGGGATGTCTATGTGGCAATAGATTATATTTTGGCAAAGTTTGAGTCTTTCTCTTTGAAACAGCATCAGAAAAACTAGTTTTTCACCAAAGCAAGCATTGCCAGCCTGTTGGAAAAGCTCATGTGAACATGTGAGCCAAATAATATTGTAGTCCATGCTGTCGGCAATGCACAATTTTGTGTCAAAAATACTTCCCCAAGACATTCCAAGCGTGGTGAAATAAATGAAGGACGAAGGGAGGGTAGTGGGCGATGACCTTGCAGGCCATGTGCCATGTTGTGCAGGTACTACAGCTGCCTATGGGGCACTTAAACATGACAGGGCTGCACACAGATCAACTATAAGTAACGGCCAATACGGTCATAGAAAAATGTACGGAAGATGTTCAATGCCATGGTGCATTGTTATGTAACCTTTGGGTGGAGCAGAGGTCTCTTCACAACTCTCCCTTTGTACCTCCCAGCACTCTTGAGGTAATGAAAGGAGAGAAAATGTGTTTGTTTTTGCAATAACTACACCCATACTTTGTGGGTTTGAAAAACTTGTGATGGATGATTTGCGAGGCAGTGAAGCCCATATAACGAGGTGATTCTATGATCACGTAAAAAAGGGCTACAGGGTCTTTTCAAAAGATTGACGGGTGTTATACTTTTGTTACCCAAGAAGGCAAAAGCCTGGCTGCATTCATATACGACAAATGAGCTGCAACAAGCAGGGGCCCATATCTTTTGCAATAAATGGACCTGTTGAGCGCCTATGCATGCACTTATCTTTGTATGTCTTTTCCAAAGATGTTCAGACTTTTGCTTGCCTTTAACTTCTTCCCAAACATTGCACCTACAAATTTAGATTCTATCCTTCTGGCATGCAATATTACATCGGTTGACATGACTCCTCATTCAATATGAGGACAGTATAGGGGTTTCTTACAAAGCAGTTTCAAGTGTTCGCATGTCTCTCTGGCAAAATAGTATCTGACTGTCATAAAAATACCCTAGTTCGATTCTGTCTTGAACCCTGCTTATGTTCAGCATCTGTTCAGATGTTTTAGTCACTGCGAGTTTCCTGTCAAGGTCACTGGCTCTCCAAGGGAGCTCCAACATAAATAAAAACATTAATGAGATTTTTTTTGTTTACCACAGCACTGATATTGCTCACCTTCTCCCTTCTCTCTGTCTCATTTTTTTTTCTGTCCTCTTAACCAACATGTACACAGTCATTACTGACTTGTGGTACACTGCTGGCAGAAAACAGCTATCTTTCTTATTGGTGCAAATAATTGTACAATATCAAGCAATCTTGAAGCACCAGTGTCATTCATGTCAGTGGTAGCTGTGTGTGTTATTCCCCACTAATATTTCAAGTGGCATCAGTAAAGCACCCAATAATGTCTTTCCAATGTTCCATTCCTATGTAATTTTGACTGCTTTGCCAGTGTTTTGGTCCACACTCAGGAAAATATTATATATATATTTTTTTATTTTGGAAAATATACCTTAGGTGTTTTTAGATAAGATATTTACTTTAGTGTCTCAATCTTGTAGATTCGCGATCATATATTAAAGGGACACGAAAACCAAATACTATTCAATCTCGGAGAAGCCATCTGGCACTGCTGTCTAACAGGGGAAGAGCAGGCATACCACAATTCTATGGGTGGAGCTTATATTCCTCAAGTTGTAATATAGTCAGCATTACGTATATTATCTTGTTTTTCGTGCAGTTTGTTTACCTTCTTGTTCAACTGACCTTCTTGTTCAACGTGCCGTATAATTTGGTTTGGTAGCAGTGTTTGTTGGACACCTGTTGTCATTACTCAATCCTCTGGTACTCTTATATTTTGTCTTTGCTTATCATACCAATGTGGCTATTCTTTTTTTTTTAATTTCCTGCCAGAGGAGTTTCTAGACATGTTATTTTGTACCCTCATATACATTTCCTACTATCATATACAGTAGACTCTCGATAATTCAAACTCTGATAATTCATACTTTGGTTAATTCAAATAAAAGAAATTTTTGGTAGGCCCTCTCTATTCTTTCAATGTATTTAAAGGCCTCTTAATTCAAACTCCATCATTCAGTTAATTCATACTTTTTGCAGTCTCATACCAGGAGATATCTGTTTCTTTTCCACTACTATTTAAAAATTTGCATGATTATATACTAATCTTAACAGTCTAAAAATGAAAAATAAGAACCTCAGGCCTTCGAGGTAAAAGGCTTTGCTAGTAAACAAATGTTTGAAACAAAGCACAGGAATGATAAACCGTGATGCTTCTCAACTGGTATAGAGAGCTTTGTGTCGAAGGCACATACCTATAGCAAAGAAGTAGTTGGCAATTCATTAAAAGTCTGATTAGCAGTAAATGGCCAATAAACTTGCAGACCTTACTCCTATGCTTTCTGTTCATTGAATGCAGTTAGGGTTTAAAAACACTTCACAATTTTTAAATGTGATAAAATCAATGCCTAGTCATAATGTGTGGTGTCACCTCACCGAGAGTCATCTATCGGAGAACTTCTGATAATTCAAACAAAATTCAGAGGTCCTTTTGAGTTTGAATAAACGAGAGTCTACTGTATTGTAGTTATAACTTTATTATGGTATCTCTCTTCTCTATAAGGCTTCATAAAGAAACTGTTGAGGTATCACAAGTAATTGATTATTATCTAATGAATTTTGGGGCAGCTGGATTTCAAGTGGCACATTCTGCAATGTCAATGTGGCTTTTACTATCTTCATTTATATGAAGTAGATCCTGAAAGGTCGGTGAATAGGGCTGAATAAGAAGGACCGATTCTGCTTTTGATGGCACCATGTACTCTGTGCCCTATATTGAGCTGACTTGCATCACTGGCACGTGGTATTATATGTTTTCCAGGTGCCGTCAATGTGATATGGCCGAGTTTCATAAAGCTGTACTCATTAGCATACATTTTGACCACATTGAATGATCATATATTTTGTTCGCTGGCACAAAAGAGCCTTTGCTGTGATTACTGAGCTGAGAACTAGTTTTTATGAAAAAGAAAAAAAAGTCTGTCACTTAGAACATTCTAATAACTTAAACGATCTTTAAGCTTTCAGTTTTCATACTACATATTACTATTTATTGTATGTACTATTGTAGATGGACAAGTTCAGGACAAAAGAGCAGCAAGCTGACCAAGAGTTGAGGCAGCTTCTTGGAAATGGAACCTCTGATGTTGATGAACCCAAAGGAGGGAAATGGGGAACTGTACCTGGCATGCGTGCTCGGCCAAGGATACCGCAAGGTAAGCCCTATAAATTGGAAAGCACATGTTTGTATCTGCTCTTGTTAATATACTTTGTAAACTTGCAAGTAAAGGTGTCATCGATGGATTGTTGGTTGGTTGTAATTTAATTGCACTGTTCTGCAGCGTTTTTGGCAACCCAGTGTCATTGCTATGTAATTTTTTTATTACGGATAAAAACTTACTGCACCTTGCAAGAATATTAAAAACTTATGTTTAAATGGAACTTTAGTCTTGTGCTTGATTTGATTTAGATGTTGCCTCTAACATGTGGAAGGTTTTGGTATAATGGGTATAATGTAATTACTGTATAGAGCGCTTATAACATAAGTCGCGGGAGTCGCGAATATCCGCACTACTATAAGCGGTACCGCACTGTAACCAAAACAACCTTTTTCAAGGGCCGCACTTGCGCAAAACGTGTTGAACATGCAAGTTCGCGTGTCCGAAAATCGAAACGTGCGATGCATACTTGGTAAATTTTAAATTTTTGAATGTTAAGAAAATTTAACATCCAAATACTCGCGTTGCCAATGAAATGAACGCGAAGGAGGGGGGGGGGGGGGGTGTTTAACAAATAAAAGCACCATCGCGGAAATTCGCTGACTACAAGACCACCTCGATTATGATTATGCGCGTTACATAGAAACTCTGTTGAATCACGTTCAGAATTTGACGCGTTAAACGATGCCAACCATTCGATTTCATGGGCGCACACCCGATCTAAGACATCACAATCGAATCATAAACCACTGTTCGAGCACTACAGGTGCCGCCCTCATTTTCATTAACGATATGTATCTCTTCCCGTCGAACGGGGCCACCGCAAAGAGTTTCGTTGATTCGCACCAAACCACAACTTAGATTCATGCGACTGCTACCGATCAAAGTGCAACCAACGCCGAATAGGCCTGGCTTGCTGTTTGGTATGTTGTTGTGGAAAGTTTGTCCAAAACACGAAGATTCGGTGTCAAAAAGATCGCACTAGTAGTGAACCAAGAACAACGTGCATGATACGAAGTTCGCGTTCGTGGCTGGTAGATCAGCAATGACGACAACTGGGCAAGCTTACATATGAGAGTGCACTGGCAGCAAAAGTAAAAGTGAAAGCTCGCGTCATAAAACCTCAGGTTTTATGACGCGAGCTTTCACTTTTACTATTCAATAGGTTTTCAATTTACGGACAAGGAAGCAAACGTGATATTTGTTCGAAGCTCGATAACGACGACATCTTTCCCGACAGGAAACTGTTAAGGGCATGCAGTTGATAACGATGGGATCCCACGTGCCACGAGCGGTGCGCAGCCGAAGCCATGCTAGGGATGCAGCACGCTGTAGCCGCGTCGGCGCCGGTGCAAAAGCTTATCCGTCACCGAGGCAACCGTCCTTTTCCCTTACTCGTCGAGCACTTGCAGTGTCCTGTGGTATTTTTTTTATTTTCCTTTTCTTCCCTCCCGCCTTCGTTTGTTCACTCCGTGTTCTCTCCTCCTCTGTAACGACCTCATCATTCACTCCCAGCGGCGCACCCAGTGCACCTCCTTTCAGAAGAGCACTCGCTACCGAATTTGTCACAAACAATTTCCGGCAACCACATTATAACCGGTCTTTCATCTTGGGGGACTGCACAATAAGCAGTAGGCGTATACATAGTGTTTTATGGAAGGGTAAACGACAGTTGAAAAAGACTGCATTGTAAATGATTCTGCACCATAAGTTGTTACATTATAAATGGTCTACACTGTATTTAACTTTAAGTAAGCGGCTCTCCTTGGGTACATGTCTTGAGCAAAAATGTTAATATGCAATCCTATAACAATTGCAAACAGGAAAGAGTGTTTTGATAATGTTTTGATAAGCTGTAATGTATTTCGTTCAGTAAAGAATAACTACTCTGAGGCCCAGGTTCTCTGAAACCAGGAAAGCCGTGAGGTCTCAGTGTTTCCATTGCAAGAAAGTTGCTGCCCTGTAGCCCCCAATGATCAATGCTTCTCTCCTCTAGCCCCAAGGGCCAACCTCATTTTGATAGTAAATCAGACCACAAAATCTGAAAAACAAGAGAAAGTATGTGTTCGTGAAAATGAGCTCTGGCTCTGGTTCCACTTTCGCAGAATGCTGTTTTGGAGCTCTTGTCAAGATTTGAACTTCATGAAATATTCTATTTATGATTATAGCTTTACATTTCAGAGGTAATTTGGAGTACAAATTGCACTTTTTAAGGTTATTTTGGGACAAAAGGGAAGGAAAATTGATTGGAGGGCTATTTAATGTCTATCCAGTTTTTTGTTGGCAAAAAAATGAGAATGCTAAAAGAACACAGAATACTTCTCCCTCCATGTTTGCTTCCCCCTTCATGTTTGCTTCAAGAAAACAAAAACAAAAAAAAGCTGGAAGAATTTACCTTTACAAAGGTCTTCACACATACTGTGCATGTAAGGATGATAATTATTAAAGGGGCTGTGCAACACTTTTTGAGCATGGTCAGAAAATGCAGCCGGTTGGTAGTCGAGGCACATGAGCTAAATATTATAGCGTAGCACATGACGTGGAATTTACAATAGGTTCTCAAAGTTATCTAAAAATTTATTCTTTCAACAAACGATGCTATATACACTTAAACACCTTTATAAGATTCATACTCCGGATGGCAATTCGTGTCTTTTATATGAGATGTCTCTTATGAGCAGGGCACCTCGTATGCACTTTCATATCAACTCGTATTTGTAAACTTCTCAAGAAATTTTAGCAGCTCTCCTGGGAAATAATTTTAGAAGGTCACCTGTCTCTTAAAAAGAAAACGTCAAACATATGCATGCACTCAATACCTGTATACTAATCAAGCCGGTATCTAGAGCCTGCACATGTGTGGTGTGAGCAGGTAATTATTGACCATGCATTGAAGAGTTGCTGTGATTATGGTTGTACATGCTGTTAGGTGTTGAGATGTAATTCCAGGATAATGTGGTATACCTAATCTTGTGATTACATTACCATTGTGGAGCACAGATACCTGTAACATATTAATGCAGTTTGCATTGTAACTTTTCTGCAAGAATGTGTTCCCGATATAGTAAGTATGACAAAAAGCAAAGGAAAATGAATAGGTTTTATTTTCTATTCAGTTGCCACCACTGGTGTGTATTTTGTGTTAGACGATAGTCATACATGCTTTAGTTCTGGTATTTTTGGTCATGTGGAAGTCTTTATAAAAGTGTGGTTCATGATAACCCATGGTTTATTACCATGCCAATTTTATAAAGTTAGTATAGACGAGTTGAAGTACCTACTTTTGTTTTTTAAATAGTATTTTGCTTTCAGGAGTTTTTGTAATATCAGTGGTTGTGCAAGGAGGTTTTAGCGAGACAATGACACTTCCTGTTCTGCAGGCCCTGGAGGGACCCTTGGTCGGCACAGTACTCCAACAAGGGATGACAACCTCACTGATGCTGATGATGAGATCTTAGAGAGCCTTGTCAAAACAGCAACAGCACAGCCAGCACGAAATGAGCCTCGCATTCGCAAGAAAGCTCGCTACGGTGATAGAAAGTCACGTAAGTAGTGCACACTTGAAGTTCTATCTCTTCAAAAACAAAAGTGTGCGAAATTGCTGCTGCTCGACAAATTTTTTTCATATAAAACTGGGAAATCCCCTAGTATTCTGTGTACTGTTAATTTACACAAGTTTTGTAGTGAGAAAATGCTGGGAACATCACGTAAAAAATTTTGAAGAAAAAAATCTGGACAATGTGTGAAAAAGTAAAGGTATTTTTGCTTGCTAGTTGTAATGGCTTTACACCCTTGAGTAGAGTGTATTTGGTTTACTTGGGTCTGCAATACTATACAAAGTGAGAAACAAGACTGCCCGCAAGCACACTGTTGCGAGTCTGGGTTCTACTCGATGCATTCCCAGCTGACGTGGGTTGCCGAGACATCAGGGTTGTGTCGGACCCAGACTCGTGTGGCAGCATGGAGCAACTCCGGGTGGAGGAAACGATGCTGACAAGTTGGGGAAATGAAAACGAACAGGTTTACTGGCACTATTTACAATTATTACCAGTATAAGAGGTGCTCATATTTGGGTGCACGTTAAGGTACCCCAGGCGGTCGAAATTTCCGGAGCCCTCCACTACGGTGTCTTTATAATCTTATGGTGGTTTTGGGACGTTAAACCACACATATAGATCAATCAAAACAGCATAAGAGATTATAGCGTACCACAAACCACGAGCGTGGTGGATGAACCATGGTTCAGAGTGACATCCTGCACTTTGCAGCATCATTTTAAGCGCTGTCGGACAACTCCTTCTAGATTAAAACATCAATCACACGCATGATACCACCCACCACCATGGCATCAGCCAATAACACATGGTTGTTGAATAGTCATTGCACTTGTTGACGCAATGTTCCTCCGGTCAGTTTTACTGAAGAAAGGGGAGTGGGGTCCTTCGCGGAGCAAGTTAGTGGATGAGTGCTTTCTGCCGTTTTTTCTTGGAAAGGCAGCAAAGGAAAAGTGACTTAATCGTATAGTCACAACCTGCGAGGGTGGTTCGTTGCACCACCTCTCCAAACAAGCCATCATGAAGGAAATGCCTGTAGGGATGTTGGTTCACGGACCATCGAAGTTGCCACATTTTTATTCCTTTGTTGCGTCCCAGAGAAGGGAAGCGGGTTAGGGGGAGACAGAAGATTAGGTGGGCAGATGAGATTAAGAAGTTTGCGGGTATAAATTGGCAGCAGCAAGCACAGGACCGGGTTAACTGGCGGAACATGGGAGAGGCCTTTGTCCTGCAGTGGACGTAGTCAGGCTGATGATGATGATGATGATGATGATGATGATGCGTCCCAGTGCTTCACGCTCGTTCCGAGAAAAAGGCCCTGGGGTTTCAGGTCGTGGAAACATGCTCCAGCTATGCTTCTCATGGACAGCATATCGCCAATGACACAACGCCTACATATCTTATGCAAGTGATTTGGTGCATTCTTTTGACATGTTATGAAGGATAACTCATGCTCGAAGAACACATTTGTGTGACTGCAGTTAAATGTAGAAGGCCAGATGGACAGCACTGTTTCGAAAATGAGGAAGTGGTATAAACACTTAAAGGAGATTTTGTAAAGGTTGCTATAATTAGTATTGCAATTGCAAATGTACCCAAAATTCTTAATTCACTCACATTTAGTACCAGAAACAGGGTTTCGTAGTATCTTGTTCCGTGCACGTATTTGTAGTGACTCCTAACTCGTCAGGTAGTTTTGTCACATTAAAGACAATTTCTTGCATCTTAGCACTGCTAGTGACTCTCATGCCAGGTTGTGCTTGTATCTGCTAAATCTTGGCTAGTTAGTGTATACAGAAAAGATCAGTCAGCTGTAACTGTGCAAGCAGTTTGATTTTGCTTTTTGTTCACAGTACATGTGCCTTATATACTATATGGTCTCTGGTTTAAATTGTTTTTCTGTTTGAAAACCAACTTCTTTTCCTAGAGGCAAAGTGAAAAGGTTTACTTATGCTTGCTTCTTCTTTGCACAGAATATTATTTCCCTCCAGAGTGGTGCAAGCCCATTGGTTCTTGTGTCACTAGATAAGAGTCACTCGCTCAAAACAGGGAACACAAGCATATGTGGAGCTTGCGAAAAACCATCCTTGCCATTGCTAACAAACGATGGCTTTGTTGTCATTGTTGAGGGGTCACGTGTTTTATGATGTAACAACTATCTGTCTGTTTTCTGTTGCACCCTCATTCTGTGCAATGAGTTTACTTGGAAGCATGTGGGCTCTTATCTTTTTTTTTTCTTGTACGAACTCCCCTTATAAAGTATGTTAAACATCTGTTTTTTTTTGTATCTCACTCTGAGCGAGTCCAACATCCTGTATGGTGCTGAACTGTTTGCATTTCTTTTTTTCCCCGTTGGTTTTATGAGAATAGAAAATTTTAGTCTCTTTTTTTTTTGAAAGGTTCTTCATGCTGATGGCTTAATAAGAAGCACAGAAATTGAGCATAAAAGTGTGATTTTCTCCTTTCTCCCCCCACCCCCCTTGTGCAGTTCGCCGTACCTTAAAGAGTGGGCTGGATCTTTCTGAGGATGAGCGGCGTTCTTTGGCTGCAATGTCATCTTAGTGTAGTTCATGCTTGGGCCCTTATAGAAGAAGATGTTCATGCCAAGTAGTACTGTTAGATGACTTCAGCATGACAGAATTTGGAAAAAATAGCTGATCTCAAGACGTGCTGTAGGCAGCTTTTTGTTGCTGTCTCTCCTTAGCACTGTAGGGGGACATGTTTCTGTCATTCAGTGTTAGATTGGGAATCTCACTTGTAAAGAGACTGTAAGGGGTGTTGTGATTGGGTTAAAACATTTATTTTTAGTTTTTCATTTGAGGCATACATTGACAGTAATGCTGAAGTGACAAAATCTGTGTGATATCAGCTTTTTTTAATTCTGTGGTGCTCAAGTTGCAATTCTGTTTAGAGTGTAGGTATGTGTGATGTCTCGTTTTTCTACAAAGTGTTCACATGTGGATTGCCTTCTTGGCCATGCCTGAGTACTTTACTCTGATGATGCATAGTCGGTAGAATTTTTTTTTCTATCACTGATGTTTTTAGAAGCAGACATGGAGAATATGTGAGAGCATATAGGCTAAGAAGCAAGTGGGACATACTCTTGTGGTTCACCAATCACTCCATATGTGATGTCTTAGTTTCAGTGTAAATATGTTGTACTATACTGAGTAGTCTAGTGATTGCCAAGTTTCTTTCTTTCTACTTTGCTTCTACCTGCCGTATCTCTTTATTCTTGCCCTCCTATTCTCCAAGACTGAATGTTAATGGGTTGTAAAAATGAAACACAACTCTAAACAAAGACAGCTCTTGTGTGGTTTGTTTGCAGGCATGTGCAGGCATGACATATTTTGGCCAAGAACAAGTGAAGTTACTTAAGCCAAGTGCATTTTGTTAGCCAATTTGTTTTTGTACAGTGAGAAAGGTTATTTATTTGTTTTTGTTCTGAAACCCCTGTGATCTATTTTCCAAGAAGTGTTTTCTCGCAGTTACTATGTCATGCATCGACTGATAGATTTGTCTTGCGACGGCGACTGCCACTGTAGAAGCTGAGCTTGCAACTGATTTGCGCCAAAGCGGCCACAGTATAAATATACACCAGGAGACATTTGTGTTCCATTTTACATACACACCCACACAGAGAGAAGCTGTGGCTTTCCTAAGTCCTTTATTTGTTTACTGAAATGTACAGTATTAGGTTTTCTTCTGATGACAAAAATGTCATTGTGCTTTCTCAAGGGCAATTTTTCCTGTAACTTCTGTACCAGTAGCATTGCTTACTTCTCAGAGCCTGGTTTGGTTCAAAGTTGTACTTGTTGAAAGTACATAAATTATCTCAAACATTCATTATGCTCTGAAATATGGTTGCTCTGTTACTGTCTCATTCTGCCAAATATTTTTTTTTTCTCGAGGCCATTTTTTTTTCTTTTTTTCAATATGTGAGATGTTATGCAGGGTAAGCTAGAAGTACTATAAGTTTAGGTATATGAAAGGGTAAAAGAAGTGCTGCTTCCCCTGTACACCTTCAGGACTTGGACAGCCTTAAGGTTTATGAAAAAGATTGTGACATCTGCAATATTGCCAAATAAAGAACACATCTGCCAGTCTGATTGAATGTCTTGTGCTGATCTGGTTCTTTTGGCCTTGGTTAACATTTTGGTATTGCAATAATAAGTAAATTAAACTCTGGGTGCCCAAAATCTGGTCACAAGTTCATTTACACATATGTAACTTATTTTACAATGCCTGTCTAGTTTGAGATTAGTTTTATTGTGATAGCAATTATGTAGACACTCTGGGTGCATTTTTGCTGTTGCCGTGAGGTTCCGTATAAAATCCAAAGCAATAATGTCACCCTACGTGTCGTATGTTTTTTGGTTTCGTGAAAAGCCCATGGGAAGAGAGGGGGGGGGGGGGGGGTTGCCTGCAGATGGCTCATGCTGAGTTAGCGGAAGCGAAGTTTTACCATATCTTCACCGTCTCATTTGTCATGTCCGAGAGCAAACAAGCTTCAAAATGGGTGCAAAAATGAAGCGATAACGTGCTGGTCACAGCAGCCTCCCTTTGGTTCCCGGTTTTCTGTGTCTATAGGTTGGAAGAAAGCAGTTCTTGAAATGGAAAATCACGTTCTAGGCCGCCATTACACATTTTTAAAAACGTGCATGGCCATATAACCATAAACTTTGAGTAATGACAAGATAGGTCCGACCAAAGCTAATCTAGTAACAATAGGTTAGACTGAGTAAAGGTGTGGGAGAGACTTGGCACCCATTTTAGATGATTTAAAGAAAGGTGGGCATGTCACCCCATTCCCTTTTAACTGGGACGTTAAACCCCACATATCAATCAATCATTCCCTTTTAAGCACATGTCTATATGCACAAGGTTGCCTCGCTACAATGGTCGTGTTCCTTGGGCTTAGGTGAGTTGTGCGAGATCACATGCTAAAGGAGTTAGCTACTACCATTACTTTGTATAACATTTGCTTTTATTGCTATCT